AGACTGTCACGCCCAACTCACCTTCTCTACCTTTTCTAGCACGCGCCTATGGAAAGCTCTGCTTTGCATGGCGGTAGTTGTGGTTTCAAATCCACCCGGAAAAACTGGAATGCATCAGTTAATTGGGCTTTCGAAATTTATCGTCTTGGGCTTTTCCAGGACCCACTTTTTGGGCCTAACTTGAAAATCTGAGGTGCGGGTCCTCTTTGTTTCATCATATGGACTTGTTGCATGGCCTGCACTTTCTTTTTTCTTATAGTATTCTCTTTTCATGATTTTTTTTAAACCTTTTGACAAACAATTATCATTGAAATTCAAAATCATACAAAGGATAATATAAATATTAATAATTATTGATAATTTATCTATTCATATTATATTTTATACAAAAATTTTATATTATAATTCATATTTACATGAAAATATAAAAAATATTTGTTTTGTTCCAAATGCTACTTTAATTTCTGGTCAAAAGAAAATCACAAAATCAATAATCATGTTTTATTGATAAAATATTAAATTTTAATTATAAACATTTAAATTATAAAATTTTTAAATAATAATTAATCAAATAAAATTTTCATATGCCTAATACCTTAACTAAAAATTTACTTCTAACGAAAACTCAATATTATCATAATTTTAACAAAGTTTTTTATCTATAATTCTTATCCATAATATATATTCTTATCAACAATCATATGTTTTTTATTTAATTTTGGTCTGTGCTTTTATTTATATGTCCAAATTATGATGATATTTCTAAAATTCTTTTCAACATAATTCTTTGGCATAATGAATTGAATTAATATAAATTTTAGTATATATTCTTTTTTTTAAATTAAATTATTTGAAAATAATGGATTTTGTATGGAATAACACTAAAATTGAAGTAATGATTTTGTTATAATTAGGCAAATTTTAATGGAATTTGTTTCATAATCTTTATCTACTTTTGGACCACCATTTTTTTACCATGAAAAGAACAATATCTCACACACCAAATAAAATTTACTTTATTTATTAATTTCTAGTGTCTTGGGTAGAAAAGGAATATTTTCCATAATGATCCTACATTTGAGAACTTTTATATTCTAACTCGATAATATTACCCAAGTGTCCTTATTGATCTCCAATTAAAATCAAGAATTTAAAATTTAATTTAATTGATTTATATAATTATCTTTAAAATATAATATTTAATAGGTTTGAAATTCAAATTTCAATATCTTTTTTGTAAAATAAAAAAACTAAGTAGAGGAATAAAAGGTGTTTAGAAAGGTAAGTTTTTGAAAAGAAAATCTGATTTTTATAAGTTAAATTAATATTAATAATCATTTGCCAGCAGCAACATAAAATTTATTTATTTTTCCCTTTATTCTTCAATTCCTCATCCAATAAGTATATATGGAAGCCCCATAAGGAAACCTTTATATCTTTCTGTTTGTTTTTTTAGCCACTTGGTTCATGGCTCATGACTATGAAAGGGCAGTAATGGGCACTAATATAAGTTCAAAATCAGATAACTTGGCTAGGGAATAATCAGCAACTTGGTTTCTAAATGATTAGGCATTTCAATTTCATCTATGATTCATGTTAATCAAGAATTGGAATCACATAAAGTTAGTTGGAGGAATGGGGAACCCACTTCCCTTTTTTTTTTCCCCTATGAAATTTCCTTCATCTTCATTTCCTTCATCTCCTAAACTTCCCATCCATATATATATATATTGAGCCCTGGCCTCCAAAGATATAGGCAAGAAAAATACACAAAAAAATAGTACTTGATCTTGTATACTACAAGAAATACTAAGCATGGCATGTTCAACAGAGCATCTCAAGAAGATTGCCTTAGAAGGCTTCCCCTTGATAGATAAGCAGTACGGCGGGCAGGCAGGGATGGCGGCTCACGGGTATGCTCCTCCTCCTCAGAGAAATCAAGATCAATATCATCATCAGAAGCTGGTTCTTAACCAATATGTTTATCATGGACCTCAAGCTGTCACTGTTGTCCAACAGCCTGATACCGGCAGCTATCATCAAATTCAGACTAACAAAAACTATGAAATATGGTATGTTTGTCATGTATACCAACCTCCTATACCAGCAGGGGCTGCAACAATTAGCAGCAATGATGCAGCTGCCTTCGATGGTGTGATGCTACTTAATGACCGGTATGGTAAAACCAAACAAAATCAGTAGGCTTTTTTGTTGATTTCTGTAAAAATACTACAAATAGCTAGTAGGCATAGACCTCCTCAGCCTGGTTAGTAACATACATGTATCTTTTTCTTTAGTATTACACCAGAACCTTATAGCAGCTTGAAAATAAGCTCTTCTTTGTGTAAAATTGTAGTGCTTTAAGTTGTATTTTCTTTTGCATTTCTGTAATCTGTTCTTATGTTTCGTTTTCCTTTTTTGGGTTTTTTTTTCTAAGTTTAATGCAATGAATTGTTAATGAATAGTAGAAGAAACTAATTGAAAAGAATCCAAGAAACTATTAGAGGATGACCAAAAGGTGTTGAGGATGACCAAGTGGGAAACCCTTTTTTTTTTTTCTAAGTCTTATTTGAACAAAATTATATTATCAGAAAGGGCATTTCCTTTAAATGAATTAACCAGGAAAGATTTTGTTTGTTATTACCTTGCTTGTGTTTTAGTTTCAGCAAACAACTTCTTGTTCACACCATCTTATCATGTCCAAATTAATAGTCATTTTTCATAAGATGATAATGTGAAGGAAATAATATTCTTACCTTTACTTCCTTTACAATTTAATCTCCAAATGAGACTCCTTTTTTTTTTTGTTCAACATCTCAAATGTGATTGTCCTCTATGATATTTAATTTGTACAATTCATTTTTTAAGACAATTATCTTATTTTTTTCATGATTTAAAATCATTATTACATAAGATTTCTAAATTATTACCAAACAAAATGATGAAATTTTTTGAATATAGATCACTGTAACTTTTAAACTGATCATCCCATATCAAACATTCTCTTAATTCTTTGTGTTATTAATTAAAAATTAAGGATAAGACACAATATAATATGTCCACTGATTAGAAAATTTTCTTCATTTATAGTAAGATGAAAGAATGAAACAAACAAGGAATTAACATATTAGGAACAAAGTTAGTATCTTCTAATATACCAAATCCTCTCATTTATCACCACTAGAAAGCAAACTCATTGAAGGAGGCAAGAATACGATGCTCAATTGAACCTGATGAGCCTTATCAAGAAACATCCCTATGCCAGCTACCTTATCTGCATAAGAATATTTTGGATAGAAAAAGGGAAAAAAAATGCTACTAAGATCTGAATCTAGTGCCATCCATCCCAAAATTTTAGGCCCTTGTGGCCAAGATTTATACTTTTCCCTGTCTCTACTGTTTGAATGGAAAGAAAAATAGAATAAGTATTGAATCGTAATTTAACTAAGATAATTTATGCAATCATTTTTAAAAATTAATATAAAAAAAATTTGAATTTCAAATTTCAAAATTTGTAACTTTTGTTCCTATTTCCAATATCCTATTTAAAAAATGGAGAAAGTACTTATGGGAAATGGGGTGGAAGGGGGTGTTGACAAGTTAGATGAATAGGAACCAAAATTATGGCACACTGACGGTGAAAATTCTTGCCAATTTACCTTGATTAAAGTTCTGTTACCACTTTTTGAACATTATGGCTCTGCTTAATCTCTGTAGAGATAAGCCAGAATATTTCTGCCTCACAAACGATCAACATTGAGTGCCCTTTCATCCAAACTACCACAATATGGATCTCTAGAGATAGCTTTCTTCATCATCTTTGCTTTATTTTCTTCTACTTTTTTATCTCCTAGAATTAAGTTCACATCATTCCGTCCTTTGCAATCATAATCTATCTCATTGCCAAGGATTTGTCAATGTCTTAAGTTAGTCCAAGATGATCCACTTGGAGCATCTAATTAACTTTGGGTTTTTCTTATAACAGTGATTTAAAGAAGTTAAAACATTTTAGATGCCAAATCCATGGAAATGTTAGTTTATATTTATTGGAAAAATATTATGATCTTCATGAATTTGATCATCATGTATTCATTTCAACTGTCTCTGTCAACATTATTATCTTCTACTGCTGTGTTTTGTGGAGTATTTAAAAATTAGTCTTAAGAATTAAAAAAAAAAGAAAAGAAAACTCGTTTGAGTTGGGTTGGATTTGAATTGAATAATTTGGAATAAAAAAATTTTAGATTATTTCAGATTTGAATCAATTCGAGTTCCATATTTCATATTGTTATTAAATTATTCCAACTAGGAAGGTGCAGCTTATCACTCGGCTTCTCTATAAAATGGGGCTTGTCTTCTAACCTGGATTGGAAGGTTTTGCGCTAATAGATGAGTGCTATGGCCGGACCCGAAGGTTCAATCAGAGCCAGTGACTTCAATCTAGACAACCACAGGTACATCAATGTCATTACCAATCTTTTTACTGCCAAGTCCGTCATCAACATCTTATGGAGCCCCAAGTTTATACAATGACGAAAAAAGCTTGTTACCAATTACCCTGGAACATCTCAGCATCAGTATTATGGTGGACGGGGAATTTCTGAGGGAGGACCCCAAGGTTTTGTTGCAAAAGAGTCTATTGTTAGCAGCAATGAGGCAGCTCAATTCTATGGTGGGACAGTGGTTATTGATTATAGCAAAAATAAGCCAGCTTATTTAGTGCTGGTAATAGATTTCTGGCTTGAAATAAAAACCAGACAATTTATGGGAAAACAACCGGACCAATTCGGAGGGACCAAAGCACACAAAGCATGTAAAGCCATATTTAGGAACAAAGGCGACCAAACATGAAACTACAAAACCAAATGCTTCCGACAATGCAGTCCTCCCACAGGTGACATTAGCGGTAAGAGTTGATTTTGTTTGAAGGCTAAAATGTATAAAGAAGGAAGCAGGGAACCATGGCTTCCACCAAACCCATTGTTAAGCCTCATAATTGGAGGCTTTTAAACATTTAAGATTAAAAAAAAAAAAAAACAAGAAATTTGTAGCTTTGGTTGAAGGGTGGCAACTGGCAATAATGGCATTCGTCAAAACAGCTCAACTAAGCACCATTCTTCTTTTGTGCTTAGCTCTTGCCTGTTGCGAGGGCATCATGGGTCCATTTAATGCAGCAGAGGCTCTAGCCAAAGCCAGAGATGCTGCTATCGGCAAAGTAGGCCCTGATGTAAAAACGTTTAATGTATTAGAATATGGTGCAAAGGCTGATGGAAAGGGTGATAGTTCAATTGTATGGTTTACCTTTGAAGTCTTCTTTCATTATTCCAGTATATATAAATTAAACTAAACATGGTCTGATCAATTGTGATTCCTGCAGAATTTTATCAGGACCTTCAAGGCTGCATGCAATTTCCATGGAAATGCTATGATGGTCATCCCTGAGGGGAACTTCTTAATAGGACCGGTCATATTTTCGGGACCCTGCTTTAATCCATCTCCCCTAATTATTCAAGCTAATGGAATAGTTAAAGCACAATCTGATATTTCCTACTATGGCGGTGGAGCAGATGGTACAGATTGGATCACAGTCCAAGGCATTGACGGCTTGATTCTCACTGGACATGGTACTTTCCATGGCCAAGGTGCCGAGGTATGGAAGTACAATAACTGTGCCAAGAAATCTAGCTGCGTCCGTTTGCCTGCTGTAAGCTTCAAAGCACCACCTGACTAGCAACTTTTTTTTTTCTGCCATTTTTTATGATTTAGATAAACTGAAGAAAAGAATTGTATATGCTGAGGTTACTTTTCTGACATACAATGCAGACTATGAAGTTCCTTAGGGTAAACAATGCAATCATCCGTGGCATAACATCCATTGACCCCAAAGGGTTCCACATCATGATCAGCTGGAGCCAAAACTTCAGGATCTTCAACCTTAATTTACAAGCCCCTGCAGATAGCCCCAACACTGATGGCATTCACATGAGCAAATCTAACCTAGTGAAAATATCCAAAAGTGTCATTCGCACAGGCGATGATTGCGTCTCTATGATCCAAGGATCCACCAACATCAGCATCAAGAAAGTATTTTGCGGCCCTGGCCATGGTTTCAGGTACTTTCCTTTCCCCTATTCAAACAGTTCACAAGCTCTGACATTAATTAAGCATTCCCTAAAAAATCACTCCATGTCCATGTTTGTTAACAGTATCGGTAGCCTTGGCCACTACGATGCTGAGTCTGATGTTAGAGGGATCATCGTGAGGAACTGCTCACTGACAGACACAGAAAATGGAGTTAGAATCAAAACATACAAAACTGCATCCCCAAGTAAAGCTTCAGGCATGGTTTTCCGAGACCTAATCATGACCCGAGTTAGGAACCCCATCTTCATCGATCAAGAATATGGAAACAAGAGAAGCAGTCAGGTTATTTTCATTCCCCCCCCCCTCCCGCAGCCCCATGATTATTTTCTCTTAGACAGCGACTAAATTCAGCTTTTCCTTTGTATCATGAAGCCATCAAAAGTAAGCATCAGCGATATTCACTACATAAACATCAAGGGAACTACAACTAGCAAAGTTGCAGTCCAACTAATTTGCAGCGCATCAAATCCATGCCAGGGGATTCGGATAAACAATGTCAACTTGCAGTACGTTGGTCTTCCAAATGACAAGGAGCGTTTCAGTTCTAACTGTACTAACGCGAAGGTTGTCTACATTGGCTTCCAAAGCCCTCCCCCTTGCCGTTAAGCGCTTACAGTTGAAACGGCAATTCTTTTCCATCTGAACGAAGGAAATTGGTCTGGTATGCCGGAAAGAGAATGACCGCACCAATAATTTCATTTTCGCAATCATTACTAATTATTATAACCCGTTAATCAAAATCTTATCTAATTACTATAACCCATTAGTAGGATCATATAATCACGTTTATACTAATTACTATTACTCTTAGTCAATGTCATATAATTAGTTTTGGTGTCAATGATTTCACTTTTTAAATATGTAAAAACGTAATTATCATATGATCATTATTTAAACATAAATCTTTTTTCTCATTTCATTAATAAGTAAGATTTATCATTTACATAGTTAAACATTAAAATAATCATATACTTGATCCTATTTTCATATATCCGAAATAAAAAAATAAAATATTTACTAATTTAGAAACATACATATATATAAATTCAAAAACAAGTAAAGTGTGAGATTTTACTTACTTTTTTTTCGATTCTATCACTTAATTTTTTTTTCAAAAATAATTAATAATATATTCAAAATCATTTCGACGTATCAAAAATTAATCAACTCTTTTAGAGGTCATATATACTAAAACAACTAAATTATACAAAAATAATTAAGTTATTTAAGAATTAACTCAATTAATTAATTATGGTAACCTGCATTATTTCCACCAAAATGATCATATCTCAATATATTCAACTTGAAATTAAAATCTTTTTAATGCATTAGAAACTAGATTTGATAAGTTTTCTATCTATATATGACCCACCTCTTAATTTCTTGTAAATTAATTATACTAATTTTTTCAATCCATGTCATATGCTATTATTAAACAGCATATATACCTTTTAATAAAAATGACATATTTATTCATAAGAGACTTCAAATTCAATTTTGTTTATTTTGTTGAAAAATAGACTTAATAACCTTTTCAAATATGTATGGCTCAATTTGTAATTTCTTCTATAAAATTTAAATTTTCGTAATTCAACATTGATACTGCTACCATATAACATGTATATCTTTAAGTAAAAATTAGACAACTCTTCATAGAAAACTCGGATTCGACTTCCGTTTATTTCATTAAAAAGTAAATTTAACATGCTTTTCATCGATATATGATAATCATAATAATATCCAATCCCTTGATATAGAATATCATTTTAATATACTGTTATAGATAATAGTATTTTATCCAAAAAATAATTTCTCATTTAATTTTTAAAAATCAAAATCTCAACTTTCAGCCTTTAAAATCCACATAATAATTAACATCAAATCATAATAATATAAAGTAAATAAAATCCAATAATTTATCTAAATCGATCATGAAAATTAGTGAAAGATTTTATAATTTTTTAAATTTTTCTTTCAAAATTTTAACTCTAAATAATAATAATTAATGTAATATTTTTTAAAATAAAAAGATGATATATACTCACTTTTAGAAAATTAATTCGATTATAATATCTAATTTCAAATCATCTAACTTAATTTTTCATGTTATTTAACCCTAAAAAAATTTTGAGAAAAAAGAACTTTAATTTTTTTTTTGTTTTATAACTAAATTTTCTTTCCTAAAATGCTTCAATCACTTTAATATAAAACTCGACGTCCCTTCTTAATTTGGTTCATCATTTCAGTCTTTTCTTAATCATTTTTGCTGATTTCGGCTCTGATTTGAATCATATGATATAATAAATTTTAAAATTTAAAATTTTTTATTTACAGTTCATCCTGTTTAAATCATCAAATTATTTCACTAATTGGGACTTAAAAATTAGAATTAAAAGCAAATTAGTATAACTTATCTTAAAATAGAAACAACATCGTTTTAAGAAATCAGTAGAAATGTTACATGCTTATATTGAAATAACAAAATGAACCCTCTAAATTGGTGGAAATAACTTCCCCTGTCACTTGCTAAAATTAGATTTCGGATCAAAAGATTTAAATAAACTTTAAATATATCATGTATTTATATCTTATAAAATATTAATAATTTATATATTAAAATTATATTTTTATAAAAATTATGTATCATATAAAAATATAAAATATATATTTTTAATTTATTAAATTTAAATATAATTTTTATTAAAATTTTAAATCATTTCATTTTTATATTTTTTTTGTACCGTGTTATTTTATAACGTCTTATATTGTCAAGTGTACTCTAAAATATTTATATTTATATAAAAATTACGGACCCTTAAAGCAGGTGGAAATTGCATTCCCTGTCACTTGCTAAAATTAGGTTTCAGGATCAAAAGCCTGTTATGGTGTCCGAAATCAAATCAGACACTTCCCATTTGCTCACCAGAAATGTCTTGCTCTCCACGAATAAGGTCAGGCGCACATTGCCACAACCGCCACCGTCACCGCTGATAGCGCAGAGACTGAATACCTCATTTTCAAGAAGGCACGATCTCGATCAAACCCGACCCCATCAACTAATCTCTACTTAGATCCACACATTTGCAAAAGCCATGAACTCCAATTACGGGGGAGGTTCATCAGGTTCACTAAGAAACTTCGATTTTAATCTCGGCCTCGAATTGGACCGACCCAAATCCCTCAACGACCAAAAGAATAATACCACAGCTTCATTTTCATCTTATTCGTCAACAACATCAAATGCACAACCGAAGCCCGCGTGGCAACCCCATAAGCCGTCGTGGACCCACCAACCCGCCTCTAATCAGACCAACCAATCTGGGTTATCTGGACCCAATTCCATGGTTGGGGCCATCTTTGGGAAGAGCTGGGTCTCTTCGGGTCCTTAGGGGTTGGAATTTTTAACAAGAGCCCCAATTTGTTTGTGGACTTGGTTAGCTCTGCTTTGGGACAGGGCAAGAGCAATAGTAATTCTAATGTTCCTTTGAAAAATTCAAATCCCACTTTTTCTTCGAGTCGAAGCCCGTATTCAATGGGGAATTTGGCTGATTCATCGCCAAAAAGTAATGGTGATAGTAATATTAATGCCAATATTAATAATAGCAAGAGTAAGAATCTTGGTGGTCCTTTGATGAAAGGTATGGCTGGAGGAGCAAATGGAGTTAGAGGTGGAATGGGATTGGTTCAAAGGACCCTTTTGGTTCTTTGGTTGATTTTTCATCAAAACCGTCAGGTAGTCGTAATTCAGGAAGTAAAGGAAATAAGGCAAATGTTGCTGATGATGCAATTGGGACTTTTCCGAATGCTTCAAAACCAAGCACAACTACATTTCCATCTAGTGGTTTTAGTTCGAGTAATAATGAATTTATGGGGCTGAGTATGGATGATTTCAGGGTGACTGGAAAAAATTTTGGATCTCAAAGTGAGCCATCTGTTCAAAGCTCTGGTGGTGATCCTCTGGATATGTTATTTTCATCATCTTCAGCTTCAACTGGAGGTGCTACACAAGGATCTGGTGGAGGTGAAGGGCTGCAATTTTCGGGAGTTGATGATTGGGGGTTGGACTTTGAGTTTGGAGGAGCAGGAGGAACCGATGAAGGTGGTTCAACAACTGAGCTTGAAGGGCTTCCTCCTCCCCCTGCTGGGTCACAGCCTCTTCTGCAAAGAGCAAGGGTATTGACAACCAGAAGCAAGGCCAATATGCTGATGCCATTAAGTGGCTGTCGTAGGCAATGGTTATTCTTGAGAAGACAGATGATAAGGCTGGCACGATGGAGGTTTTATCATGTAGGGCTTCTTGTTATAAAGAGGTTGGGGAGTATAAGAAGGCTGTAGCTGATTGTTCAAAGGCATAAATGACTCTTTAAACTGTTAAACAGATTATTGTAGTTCCATATTAATGTAAATATTTACCTTAAAAGGTTTATTGCATTCACATGGTTTGCAATTGGATTTTGTGACTTAATTTCTAGGCCTTCCTACGTTGAAGCAATGTTATGCGAACCTCCTCCCAAATTGTTAGTGTGCTTAGAGTTATTGGGGTTTGAACCTCTGACGTTGGCTCCAGAGCAAGCCTTTAACAACTGAATAGTGCTAGGCTCCTTGTGATACTTAATGACCTAATCTCAGACATGTCTTGTTTTGAAACTACAAGAATGTATACTTTAGCTTTGTTTTTGTTGATAATTTTACCCATGTGAGGGCTTTTGTGTTTCTGAGAAATAGAAGTAACGAGTATGGTCCTTCATTTGCACACTGCAAGGTCCTTTCATTTTCTACACACCAGCGGTGACTGCTCTTGGTTGTGTTTGTATCGATCACTTCAATGATATGAATGTATTGATCCACTTGTTTGACTAACGAAATTATTTTCTCCATTTTTCTATGCAGGTGCTAGAGCACGATGACACCAATGTGTCTGTCCTTGTACAGTGTGCACTCTTGTATGAAAGCATGGAGAAATACAAACTTGGAGCAGAAGATCTGAGAACTGTTCTGAGGATTGATCCTGGTAACAGGATTGCAAGAAATACCGTCCATCGCTTGGCTAAAATGGCGGAATAAAAGGTTTTAATATTCTTCTGTTTGTATTAGCTTCTTCATTAGGTTGACACCTTTTCCCCTCATACTATGAAGAGAATTATGGGGAATAATAACTTTTTTCTTCCAATATATGCAGAATTGATGTGATTGAATATCATTTCTTGTTTGGTCGTGATGTGGAAATGGTTCTTATTTGATTCTTCAAAATAAGTTTGGGAATTTGCAATCAAATATCAGCATGTATGGTTTCGTTTATTTTTTGAGAACACTGTTTTATGGTTGATTGCTATTACTCTTCTTTTCACTTTTTTATCAGTCATGTATGCTCAGCATGTTCTTCAAATAATGAGACTGATCAGCAGGCATGATTCCTTGTTGCTTCAGGTGAAAGCATACAATCCTCTGCACTCAACAAGTCTGCACTTACTACTTGTTTGTAGCAGCAGAGTGTTAGGTCAGTTGTGGCTATTGTATTGGATGAGATGACTAATGGGTGTTGCTAGTGATGCTATAGCAATGATTTTTTTTTTTTTTCATGGGTGAAGTTTGACCTCCTGGTTCAAAGCCTGTGAAATAACCCAAGTCCCTAAATTAAGATAGATAAAAAGGTAACAATCTCAATCATAATAAGATGACATGATGCAAAAATAATACGAGTAAAAGATAAAGATAATATAATTTAAAATTTTAGCAAAAATCATAAATATTTTTAATAAATCAAAAAATATATTTTATATTTTTGTATTGATACGAATTATGACATGTTACTTTCGAACAAAATACAGCATGAATGTAAATATATATTATAATTTTTATATTCATATTATGTAAAATATTAATAATTTATATATTTAAATGCATAAATTATTAATATTTTATATGATACAAATACAAAAATCACCTTGCCTATATGGCTATAGCATGAAGGTCCCTTACCATGGTTATTTTCTAGATTAATTCTCAGACCAAAACCATGGGCTGGCTTCCAGATTCTTGCCTTCCCACTTACTTTATCCTGCTATAAGCAGAAGCAGAAACTTTTTGGACCAATGAAATTGATTGTTCTTATTCTCTTGATGTAACTGAAATTCAGATTTGCCGGAGTTACCCAGCTCACCTTTTGAAGTATCCCAAATTTTGTACCATCTGATCTCATTAACATTACAGTTATTCACAAAAATTATCAATTGATCACATGTTCTTATTCATTCATTTACTTGTGAAGCTCACATTTTAGAGAACCTTGTTGTTAATGATTAGATTAGATACTATGTTTTCTTGTCATTGCAAAAAGAGGAGAGGTGACAAGATTCTAAATAAGTGACAAATGCAAAATCATTTGAGTAAGAGTGATAATGGTTCAAATTGAATTTAATTTGATTTTTTTAAATAATTTATAATATTATGAATTTTTCAAATTTGATTTAAATTTGAATCAATATTCTTTTGAATTCAATTTGATTTGAATCGAATTCTACTAGTTTTGTTTAATTTGATTCATTAGGTTTTAAATTTTAAATTTTTTTGTTTTTATTATATTATTTTAATAATATTTTTAATATATTTAAATAAATTTATATATATAATAATTATTTTTATTTTATAAAAATTTAAAATATATATATAAATTAATAAAAATATATAATTCGATTTGATTCGATTTTTTTTTAATATCTCAATCTTAAATAAATTCAAATTAATATATACATTTAATATCCAACAATAATTCAAATTGAATAAAAAAAATCAATCTAAACCTGACCAAACACTTTAATTTCAAATCAATTTTTAATTTTCTAGATTTTTTTTCTCATCTTACATTTGCTAACACATCCCACTCTAAATAACTAATTGCGAACTCCTACCTTCTTCCACTTGGGCCGTTGATTTTTGGACCTAGTCTTATGTGCGTTACCCCAAAGCCCTGCTCACACCAAATCCAAGGCCCCAACAATGTGGACCCCTCCCCAACGAGCCCTCTCAATCGTACGGCCATATTGACTCCTTTAAACTGCTTATCCACGTATACCTCGAATCTCCCCCCTTTGATTTAAACTTCAATGATTCACTCTCAGCCGTCGGATTAGAATACATAGAAAACAAATAAAAAAAGGATAATGGCCACTTGTCTTGAGTCTATAGGGATTACTTGCAACCTTCACTCTATAAATGTAAGACCCCAAAGGCAAAACTTTCCTTCTCAATCTGGTTTTTTTTCTTTGGTTTTCCGTATCACTTTTTATTTTTGTCAAAAGCATTGAAACTCTTTTAGGACATGTGCGGAGGTGAAATCATTTCTAATTTAATCGCCGTGAAGCGTGGTCGGAAGTTGACCGCTGATGATCTGTGGTCCGAACTTGACACCTTCTCGGACCTATCAGGTTTGGACTACAATGGGAAACACTCTTTCAATCCTTTTGACAAGAAGGTCGGGCCAAAAGGCAAGCAACTTAACAAAGGTAACATTTCTGCTCCTGGGTTTCTTCAATTTTTTTTTTCTTTTTTCTTTTTGTTGACATTCATGCTGTTCCTTTTGTTCTTGCATGACATTGATTTCTATTTTTTTCGTTAGGCTTGATCATTCGAATATTTATATTATATAAAATATTAAAATTTATGTATTTAAATTATATTTTATATAAAAATTATTTGTCATTATTTACGTGAATTTAAAAATATAAAAAAATTTTTGCATGATATTGATTTTTTTTTGTTAAACGTAATAATTTATATATTTGTATAATATAAAATATTAAAATTTATATATTTATATCATATTTAATAAAAAATTATTATCATAATTTATAATTTTATATAAAGATAAAAATTTTATAATTTTATAATGTTACGAAAATTTAAAATTTATCATTTATGTTTTTTATTTATATTATTTTTGTCATATTATCGTATCAATTTGAGTTTTTATTTTTCGGTTTTTTTTTTAATATATTGGTATATGTCTTCGGCTAAAAGTTGGTTTTTGTGATTTTAGTGATAAACGAGAGGACCCAGAACCAGAAAACAAGCCGAGGCAAAGAAAAAAAGGGAAAGACTGAGCGAACTCGGAAGAATGTTTACAGAGGAATCAGGCAAAGGCCATGGGGGAAATGGGCAGCTGAGATTAGAGACCCTCACAAAGGCGTCCGAGTCTGGCTCGGTACCTATAACACAGCTGAAGAAGCAGCTCGAGCCTACGATGAAGCCGCTAAGCGCATCCGTGGAGACAAAGCCAAGCTCAACTTCCCTCGACCTCCAGCTGAAGCAGCAGCCCAAACTCAGCCTCCTGATAAGAAAAGGCGCATCGCTCTTGAGTCGACTCAGGCGAGTTTTGCAACCACTGGCCCATCACCCCCTCCAATTCCACAACTTTATATGGGTCTCGTTTGTGGAAACGAAGTTTACAGGCCAATTGAAGTACCGGAGAGTGAGTTGGATCTGAAAGAGCAAATCTCAAGCCTGGAATCGTTCCTGGGTTTGGAGTCTGATGAGACTACTACTCAGCTGAGTGGTACCGGTGAGCCTGACTCAGTCTCCCTTTGGATGCTTGATGAACTCGTGACACATCATCAGCACCAGCACCAGCTTGTTTATTAGATTAAAAAAAAAAAGCTATAAAATTACAAATTATTAGCGTTAATCATGTTTATGTTATGTATTAATTAGTGTTTTTAATAGGTATATAGACTTTATTATGCTTACGACTTTGAGTTTGGTTCGATGCATGTTTTAAATACGTGAATAAAAGATTAACGTGTTTCACTTTATCTGAGTTTAGCACAGATCAAAATAAAATGGTATTTGACAACGGTCGTATGTGATTTATATTGATAGAATATTAAATTTTTTAATTTTAATAATGCAAGTATAAAAAGAAATGAGATTTGAATGAAACGTTATAAAAAATAGATTTGGATGAAAATCTTAAAAGTTTGTACGGTAATCTTCTAAAAAGAAAAAGAGGTAATGTGTTTATTCACACGTGCGAGAACCTGTGTATTATAAATAAGCATTGTGTTGGTTTTATGTTTTTCAGTGTAAATGATAGATCTGAAAGTTATTTGAATATTCTTCAACTTTTTAGTTTAATGGTCAATAATGCTTTAAAAATATATCATGGTTGGGGTTTCACCTCAACCTCCCCCTTCTCTCTTATGGTAAGATTCTGTCCCTCTCAAAAAATTAATAAAAAAAAAAAAATTATTTGAATTGAATTTGAATAAAATTTGAATTCGATAATTATTAAATGAAATTTAAGTAGTTTAATTTATTGAGTGAGTCAAATTTAAATATTTTAATATCTGAACTGAATTTTTTGTAAGTTTAATTAAATTTTTAAATTTTAATATATTTTTATTATTTTAATTAAAAATATTAATTTACCTTTATATATAAATATTAGTTCGAGTTCAAACTTGAATTCAAACACATAATAAAGTTTGAAATCGAATATAAAAATTAAGTTTATTTTTATTAAACAAGTATAATCGAGTAATTTCGAATAATTTAAATTTTATCTCTAATCAATTTCAAATTTAAAAATTAAAACTTGATTAAATTTAAATCGAATTTTGAATAATAAATTTCAAGTTGAGTTCGAGCTTGAATATTTTATTGTATTGATTCGACTTCACTTAATTGCACCTCTAATTAATATATAATATATTTTCGTACTTTGTATTAATTAAAAGTTTATTTGTTATTAATGCTAATAGTTTTGTTTTAATATATAATTGAGTTTGAAATTGAGTGTAAAAATTTAACTCATTTTTATTAAACGAATCTAATCGAATAAATTTAAATAATTTAATTTTTATTTTGAGTCAAATTCAAACTTAAAAATTTAAATTTAAATAAACTCAAAGTTAAATTTTAAACAAAAAATTTTAAATCGAGTTCGATTTTATACTTCTCGTTATATTAATTCAAGCTTGCACTCTTAGTTCTTGTAGAATATATTTTCGTACTTTGTATTAATTAAAATTTCATTCTTTAGTAGTGCTAATAGTTTATTTTAAAACATTCAGAATTCAGTCACGTGCTGAGTATAGTGACATTATTAGGTTTGGAGTTCAACAATTGTAATTTTTTCTTATTTCTTTTGTATAAAAAATTTTATTTTAAATTATGAAGTTATCTTTTTCATAAAATAATGTATGAGAATATCATAAAGTTATCTTTCTCATAAGGACACACCAAATTTACTTTGATATTCATGGATCCATTTTGGTCTGGGAGTATCGATGGTGTTGGTTTAGATTTTGCTTTTGCATTTGCATTTGCATGAAAGTGATAGGTAACCAAACAAACCGCCCAATGCATGCACCAAGAGAAACACAAGTAATCTTTTGAGCAGTGATTTTGTAGATTTTCTTTGTCGCCCTTGAATTAAAGCTATCACGTTCCTTCTCTGGACCATATTCTTTTACTACTTTTCACCAATTTTGGACAGAATCTGCCCACTGTTTTGTAACTTGAAACCTGGTGGTTTGCAGTTTGGAATCGTTGATGGGTTTGAAAAGAAAAACCAGATCGTAAACCTTGTGAAACTATCTACTTGCGACAATTGAATTTAATTTTTACTGTATTTGGAGGTAAAATAACAAAGCTGTAGTTAAAACTGACGACTAATAGTATAATGTAAAATAATTTATATATTTATATCGTATTTTATATAAAAATTACATAAAAATATTAAAATTATTTTTTTAAATTTATCTAATTTATATATAATTTTTATTAAAATTTTTATTATTTTTTTGTTTTTTCTTGTGTGACGTAATTAAATTATTAAGTTTAATTGCAACAGTATACCTTTGTCGACTTCTTTTTCACCGTCAGCATATTCTATCTTTTGACTGCAACAGAAGATTTAATGTCATCATAACCCAGTTAGTAAACCATTCACCCAATTAGCAATCTTCAACATCCTGTACCTTTCTTCCTTTGAAGCTTCCTGTGAAAAATCGCCGAGTCAGATTCTACAACAATATTTCTCAAATTGATTCTATGTCATAAGTATTCCAATATTTGATTCAACGATTAATAATATAAAATTTATTTCATCCATTAACATTGAAAATTTTAAATTTTACAAGTTTTATCAATCTTTTAATTTTATTTATAAAATTAAAAAATTATTAACATAATTTATTAACTACTAACTCTTAATAATAATATTTTTACTCAAAAAATATATAGATAAATACTAAAATGATGTAATTATAATAAAGCTGAAATATAATTTGGAGTTAAATTATGGATTGAGAATTTATAGGGAGGTGAGAAAGCAATTGAAAATTGTAATAAAAGGATTATATCCTTAGAATCGAAATAATAGCTCGGCAATTAATTTTCAACTTTCACACATAGATAATGATTATTATTGGTCAAAATGGCTGCTTGAACAGTGATTTTTTTGAACTTGATTTGCTTTATCTTTGACTGCTTTACATTTTTTCCCCTCTGTAGATCTTCTGTATCTCGTCATTTTTGACCAACGTAAGTGTCACAGACTCACAGTATGCTTGGTGTCGTGATGGGGGGCAAAGGACTTTTGATTTCAAAGTTTTCAGGCTCTCGGTTCAACCACAAAAGGCACCATATATGGTCCTCAACTCACGGATCAACCAATTCCTCCATGATGACAACTTTTGGCCCAGCCTGGTTCTTTTCCAAATCAGCCCAAAGCATTCTATGTCTAACCTCTCCAACCTGCGTACGAAAGGCTGAACGGCCTCACCTCATAAGGATGGTAAATGTAACCAAACTTGAATTTTGCCTTAAGCCGACCCTATAAAGTCCAAGGGTGGGAAAAAGAATAAAAAAATTCTAAAAATTAATTCAAAATCATAAAATTAAAATTATTTTATTTAATTCAGATTAAGTTTATATATTAAATGTATATATTAAGTTTGGATCAAATTTCAGATCAAAAATAAAAAGTAAAAAAAATCGAATCAAATTATATATTTTTCTTAATTTATATATATATTTTAAAATTTTATAAAATAAAAATAATAATTTTTATTAAAATCTACTTAAATATACTAAAAATTTATATTAAAACAATATATAAAAATTAAAAATTAAAAACCGATAAATAAAATAAAATCAAACCAAATCAAATCAATAAAATTTAATTCAATTTGATTTGAATTGAACAAAGGTTTGGATTCAATTTCATATTTGAATCAAATTTTAAATTTTTATAATATTATATAATATAAAAATAAGAATCGAATTCGATTCAAATAGAACTGTTATCACCATTTTTTAAAATTGAATTTTTGGTTGGGTTTTTTTCTCTAATCAAGGTGAGATCAGAATTCATTTTTAGGTAAATATATATATTTTTTATTATTTATTTAATTTTATATTTATATATTATATTAATAAAATTATTATATAATATTTTAATTTAAGATATTAATTTAATAAAAATACTATATTTATGTATAATTAAGATATATTAAAAATAATATTTTATAAATATTATATTAAATTAAAATTATTAAATTAATTTTGAGTTAGATTAGTTACGATTTTATATATATACGAATTGACCGAAGGAATTGAATAAAAAGAATTGAATTTGAGAAGGAAATTTTTTAGGGATTTTAGGAACAATTGAAGTGCGAGAAAATAAAAAGGGCAACGTAAATAGAAAAATAAAAAATAAGAAAAATTATAATGCTTAAAAGATTTATTTATTATGGTCCCTGAAACACTGGATTTGCTATAATAAGTATTGAGTTGGTTTATTTTGAGGGTTAACAGATTGCTACATGCTTTATTTTTTAAAAATTATTATTATCATATATATTATTTTATTAATTTTATTTTAAAAAATAAAAATATATTATTAATGAATATGATAATTTTTTTATAAATTTGTGTAATTATTATAAATAATTAAAATGTACAGTGAAATCAAACAAATTTAAGAGAAAAAGAGCAAAAAATTATGTTAAAAATTTATTTCGGATATTACGTTGAAATAAGTATTGGGTGTTTAAAGATTTTAAAATTTAGGTCTATTATGATAATTTAAAAAATAATAAAAAAATATAATATAAATAAAAAATTTAAAAGTGATAATAATTATATATGAATTTAATAAAATTAAAAAATATATTTTATATTTTTATTTTATTATGAATTATGATATGTAATTTTTGTATAAAATAGATATGAGTATCTGAATTGGGCCGTTAAAGATGATTTTGGGTTGGATGATGACAGCCATCCATTTCTTGTATTTTTCTTTAGCCCAAAACCAAAACTAAAAAGGCCAAAACCCTACAGTGAGAAATCAATACTATATTTGTTAGAAAACCCTAGAGTTGCCGCTTGCAGAGACACATCAGGAGAGAGGGACACAGGCAAGGAAAAACAACTATGGTGTCTTTGAAGCTCCAGAAGCGGCTTGCCGCTAGCGTTCTCAAGTGCGGTCGTGGCAAGGTCTGGCTGGACCCTAATGAAATCAACGAAATCTCCATGGCCAACTCCAGTAAGTCGCTCCCTCTCTAGTTTGTTATCCTTGTTTAATTCATTTCTAAATATGTGCCCTAGTCTGTTAATCCATTATGTTGTAGTATACAGATCCTTGCTGTTATTGTTTGTATTTGAGTGTTTAGGGTTTGTTTGGTTTCTCAGAAAACGTGGGAAAGGGAATAATAGATTTTAGGATCTGAATTTCACTTATTCTTAGCTAATTACTTTCTTTGCCCATTTATTTATGTGAAAATTTTGAGTTTTTTTTCCTTTTATTTTTCTTTCCAATGAACCCTAATTCGAGTTGTGTTAGATGTTCTCTACTTGGCGAAGCAGCTTCATTATTTTTATTCTGTTAGGTTTAATTCAAGCTGTTAGCTGTTTTTTCTACCTACCAGTTTGTGTGTTAATGATTTGATCCCTTTTTGCAGGGCAGAATGTTAGGAAACTGGTGAAGGATGGTTTTATCATCAGGAAGCCTACCAAGATCCACTCCCGTTCTCGTGCACGCAGAATGAAAGAGGCCAAGAGAAAGGGCAGACACTCTGGATATGGTATGATAAATCTGCAATTCAGTAACATATATTTAGGATATGTTTGGTACATAAGATTATAATATAATAGGATAAGATGATATTAAGATTAGCATTAGATTAAATAATGTTATACAATATTGTGTTTGATATATGCAAAGATTAGGATAGGATAATTTATTTATTGGTCAAAATTATCTTTCCTCAATGTTTATACAATTTAATTATTGATATAATTTTTAAGGGCATAATAAGATATGTAAGTTCAATCTCATGGGTTAAAAATAATCTTCTCCACTTTGGGAGGATTGAATCGTCCTATGCCAAGAGGATGATTAATTCTCTTTACAATCCTATCCCTTTCTTTAGATACAATCCAAACATAGTATAGGATGATTATCATCCTATCCTATCAATAATCCTATGCTTCAAATAGGACTTTAGCGTGTTGGATACGTATTTGGGTTTTCTTGTTTCTCAAAGTTCAGTGTAAGTTAAGGAAGGTATAATTGTCTTCTCCTATACTTTCAGGTAAAAGGAAGGGTACCAGGGAGGCAAGATTGCCAACAAAGATCCTCTGGATGAGGCGAATGCGTGTACTGAGGCGTTTGCTTCGTAAGTACAGGGAATCCAAGAAGATTGACAAGCACATGTACCATGACATGTACATGAAGGTCAAGGGTAATGTGTTTAAGAACAAGCGTGTCTTGATGGAAAGTATCCACAAATCCAAGGCTGAGAAAGCAAGAGAGAAGACACTCTCTGACCAGTTTGATGCCAAGCGTGCTAAGAACAAGGCAAGCAGGGAGAGAAAGATTGCCAGAAGGGAGGAACGCCTTGCACAGGTGATATAAACATCTGTCTTGATTTATACATTGATATACTGTGATGGGGGAATGAATCTTAGGTTCTGATTGTATGAAATTCAATTTGGTAGTAATGTGATTGTTGTTTTTCCTGTTTTTAATGAATTTATGCAAGTGATCTATGTTGAGCCAAAATTTGTCATAGAAGAAAGCATTCTTATTGGAACATTTCAGCTTTCATGCAGTACATGCCAAGCTATATTTTACCATAAAACTGCATGACTTTTCACCCCGTATTCTGTCTTTTTGGTTTTGGATGCTTCTAATTAGTTATTTGTGACTTAATTTTGGTTTCTTGACCGTCCAGGGACCTGGTGAGAAGGCAACACCTGCATCTGCACCCCAACAGGCTGAGTAAGATGCATGATAATATTTCTTCATTTTTATTTTATCTGTTTCAACGGGTTTAATTTGGCTTTCTTTTGATCTTTGCAGGGGAGTTAAGAAGGCAAAGAAGTGAATGAAATAATGAAGATCGGCAAACTTTATATGTTAATGCCTTTTGTTTTCTCCATTGGAGTTTGTCTGCAAAACTCTGTTTTGATCTTGTTAAAATTTTTAACTATAAAGTACAGAATTTTGGAAACCTCGGATCTATTATGTTAAATGAACATGTTTATGGTATTAGTATATTGTTCAATAATAGTGCATATTCTATAGTTTTGGTGGTCGAAAACCGTTAACCACTGTTCTTTCTGAAATTGAGTAGGCTTGCACTTTATCGACCATTAGAGGTGGTAGTAGATGCTGCATGACTGGATCATCTACTGGGAAGGGATTCAGAATGGCTCAGAAAGAGCTCCTGCCTTTGATGTAGCACTCTCTTTGGTGGTAGCAGTGATTCTCGGGTCTTCCCTTCATGGAGGTAATGGATCATGCCGGAAAAGATTTGCAATTTGCTGATGATATGATATAGGAAAAGATTTTATTCCAATTTTGCACCTTGAGTAAGGGATCATATACTAAATATTAGCCGAATAGTTGAAGCGTTTCACCTATAAATTTTTTATTATAATCTTATAATTATCTAATAATATTAAAAACTTATGTAAGAATTCATTATTTATAAATATAGGTTTTATATGAAAATTTGATAAATATTATATAATTTTCAATTATAATTGATTAATTATAATATAATAATTATAGTTAATATGCTTCCGAATAATTTGACGGAGACGGAATGAGTGGGGTTTTTTTTTTTAATCAAATTGAGAGACGGAACTAGTGGAGTCCACCCTTAAATAATGGTTGAATGATACAAGACAGGAGCAGCAAAGAAAGTTCAAATTATGCCCTTAAAGAAAAATCTATAGCAAATTTTTATATTCAACGATTTTGATTTTAAAGGTTAATCTATTTTATGCTTAATCACTAATAATTGTGGGGAATGACAAAAATTATATGAAAATTTAAAATTTTAATAAAAATTTATATGAATTTAATGAAAGGAAAAATTTATAATTTAAAATTTTGATAATAATTTTATATATTTGATAAAAAGGAAAAAAAGTATGATTTAAATTTATGATAAAATATATATAAATTTAATAAAAATAAAAACATTATAATTTATATTATATATATTAAATAAATTGTAACATTATTTAATATAAATAGGTATTACATAAAATAGATGTGATAAATTAAAATACAACGGAATGATATCATATAATATAGTTTAAAATTTTAATAATATTATATATGAATTTAATAAAAATAAAAAATAAAATTTATATTTTTATATTAATAATTTTTATATGAAATATAATATAAATATATAAATTTTAATATTTTATATATTATGAATATTCGTATAATTAAATTGTCTTATCTAGAGGGGTAGGGATCAAGCATTAAATAATGTATGCATTCTTAAAAGTTAAAACAACTTAAAAAAAATGCTTCATTTAAGGTTCGGAGTGTTGCGAAAATTTCCAGATTTGACGACGTTCTCTTTTTCATTTATTACTATTCCAAACAAAAAGCGATAATAAATAAAAAAAAAAAGAAAAAAAAAACGATTCAAAAAGCCAATCCCGACTCTCCCTCTCCTTTCTATCTCTGGATCCCAATCCCATCATATTCTCAATTTTCGATCTTTAATTCACCAGATCGAACAAAAACAAAAGAAAAAGAAATTCTCGGATCTTTACTTTACCAATCAATAATCGGAAAAAAGAAATGGCATCGGAACAGTTGATGTCCGGTGGTGGTTCACGGTACTACCAATTACAATCGGAGCCCTTACCATCGATGATGTCATCATTCCTCTCTTTCGCTCAAGGTGTCGCCCCTGAGTCAACTCGGATTTTCGATGAGTTACCTAAAGCTACCATTGTCTCCGTCTCCAGACCCGACGCCGGCGATATCAGCCCCATGCTTTTATCTTACACCATCGAATTCCAATACAAACAAGCAAGTTTCTCTTTTTCGTTTCATTCTTCAATCAATCTTTCTAAAATTATTTTGATAGTTTAAATTCGAATCATACTTTCGATCCTAACTTGTTTTAATATTTATACTAATTTCTTCATTTTGATTCTTCAGTTTAAGTGGCGGTTATTGAAGAAAGCTTCACACGTTTTTTACTTACACTTTGCTTTGAAGAAACGCTTGTTTATTGAAGAAATTCACGAGAAGCAAGAACAGGTGTGTAGATAAAACGAGAATGTTTTTCTGTGTTTTGCTGTCATTTGAATTTTCTGTTGATTAATAACTGTTTGCTTGGAGGGTTTACGATTTGAATGTGGTTTTCACACTGAACATTATTACATTAAAGGTTAAAGAATGGCTTCAAAATCTAGGAATAGGAGACCATACGCCAGTTGTGCAAGATGATGATGAACCGGATGATGATGCTGTTCCTTTACATCATGATGAAAGTGCTAAAAACAGGTGATTGTTATCATCCTGAATTTTCCAAAAAAAAAAGAAAATTTAACTCTATGTGCTTATGAGTTGGTTTGTTTTTTCTTTTTTTTTTTCTATGCAGAGATGTTCCATCAAGTGCTGCTCTTCCAGTTATTAGACCAGCCTTGGGAAGGCAGTCTTCGATGTCGGACAGAGCAAAGGTTGCAATGCAAGAATATCTGAACCACTTTCTTGGAAATATGGATATTGTTAACTCTCGTGAGGTATGCATTCCTAAACATGGTGATGTGATATCGTAATGCGTCTGTGGCAATCATTTTTTGTTTATTTACATTTGTCTTGATAGGTATTAGACCTTTTTTTTAATAGACTTTGCTATACCTGGAGAATATGCTGCGTAATTTCATTTTACTTTAGTTACTAATATGTGCTCAATTTCCCCTCATATATTTTGTGTTGATTATAGACTACCAAATTCAACTTGCTTTCCTTTTTTTTTAATGAAACAATCATGAAGTAGATGAAGCCTCCTAACAGCTGGTTCAGTAAACTGTCAGTTGATCTATTGAAAGGATTATTTTCTTTTAGTTAGAGTTCTTAATGCAAGTGCTGTAGATTTACTCTTAGAACTTAGAACTTGGAATGTGGTTGCTAACTACTATGTGTTTTACATTTTGAGTTTTTTTGCTTTATGTCCCTCTTATATCGTTTTGTCAATTTTCTTGTAGGTTTGCAAGTTTTTGGAGGTTTCAAAGTTGTCATTTTCACCAGAGTATGGCCCTAAGCTGAAGGAAGAGTATGTGATGGTGAAGCATCTACCAAAAATTGCCAAGAATGATGACTCTGATAGATGCTGTGCATGTTGTTGGTTCAATTGCTGTAATGATAACTGGCAAAAGGTGATGTGATCTCATTTCTGAAAACTCAGTTTATATTAAATTTAAGATGCTCTTGTTTCAGAACATATGCTGCACATGCATGGGGTGCAGCAAGTAATAATTTCCTCTCTTCTCTGTCTAAATATTCTTGGGTGGGAGTGAAACTGGCATCACAAAGTGCATCTTTTGTGCTTCAGCAAGAGTTCACTTAGTCAGCTTTGCTTCGTGATGTAGAATGTGCATAGGAATCTCCTATTGTTGCTTAATGGGTGAGATCAGTGAAATTAAATAAGATGATAGGATTTCAGAATAGGATTCTGAAGATGGGTCAAATTAATGGTTGTCATATGTTGATTCTATTGCTTGAGATCTTTGGAGTTGTTGTCTCTTGCCTTGCTAAAATGTTCAGATTTGTTGTACCTTAATCTTGCAATATGGACAATAACTTAACCTTTAAAATAACACTCCTTTTGCCATCATTTTGGGTATTTTTCACATTTTACCTTATTCGTTTGACCCAAGTTTTTCTGTTGTCATGTGAAATGATTATTTATAGGTGTGGGCTGTGCTGAAACCTGGATTCTTAGCCTTGCTGGGAGATCCTTTTGATTCCAAACCTTTAGATATAATTGTTTTCAATGTATTACCAGCCTCGGATGGTAATGGTGAGGGCCGGGTATCATTAGCAGCAGAAGTAAAGGAACGTAATCCTTTACGCCATGCTTTTAAGGTCAGTAGAATATTTGCTGTTGATTCTGTGGAAATTTTTTTCCTGCTGATGGGCATATTATTCTTTTAGCATTTTACTAGTCATGTTAAAGTTTAAGACACTATTGTTCATAATCAATGACCTTTGATTGTTATTTCTTTTTCTCATTGTGATTTGGATAAGATCCCCAACAAAATAATTCTTCGATTAGAAAACCTCTAGTGATACTTCTGCCATCCAAAAAGATTTTTATTCCTTAAAATCCTGATCATTAACCTATATTAACACCACATTTGGCATCAAACGTTTAGGATCAAGATAAATATATGGGTTTTCTGGATTGAAGATTTTTTTGAGGTTGTAAGTTTTTCCTTCTACATATTAAATGAACTATTTATTTCTATAATGTTGGGTTAAGTAGTATGTCTGATGAATATATCTAGAGAAATTCACTTTCTAACAGATGATTGGGAACTTCAAAGGTCACATGTGGAATTCGGAGCATAAAGTTAAGAACGAAGAGTAGTGCTAAAGTTAAAGATTGGGTTGCAGCAATTAATGATGCTGGGCTTAGACCTCCTGAGGGCTGGTGTCATCCTCATCGCTTTGGCTCTTTTGCTCCACCAAGGGGTTTGACAGAAGACGATAGTCAGGCTCAATGGTTCATAGATGGTAGGGCAGCTTTTGATGCTATAGCTTCATCAATTGAGGATGCTAAATCAGAGGTCTGTCTTTTCTACTCTTGCAGGTCAAAATGGGTTGCATCCAAACTGGTTTTTCTTTTCTTTAGCATAAAAAACCTATTGTATGATTCCAAAATTTATGCAGATATTTATTTGTGGCTGGTGGCTTTGCCCAGAATTGTATCTACGCCGTCCTTTCAGTGAGCAGGCATCCTCCAGGCTCGATGTTTTGCTGGAATCCAAAGCTAAGCAAGGGGTTCAGGTATTGTAATCTTTCAATTATTTTTTAGAAGGTTTATTTTATTAATAAGTCTGTAATTTTTTTTTTTGTTAAATTAAAAATGGATGTTGAATTATTTTCTTCATTAGACGAATCCTTTTGTTATGGCTGTGTATACAGTGTACATGAATTAGGATTTATGAGTCAAGGTGTTTTATGTGTTAACCGTGTATTACTTTTTTCTTCAACTCATTTTGTCTGTCAGTGAGCTCAGTCACTGTTGATAGTTGAAGGCTTTTGGTTTGATTTTGAGCCCTTTAAATTTTACAAACCTGATTTAACTATTACATTAATGTTTATTCTTTAACAAAAAAACAAATTAATATCTGCTTCTACTATGTTGATCAATGTCCAATCCTGATGCAAAAATGTTTAATGTGTCTATGACTGCAGATATACATCCTTCTCTACAAAGAACTTGCTCTTGCTTTGAAAATCAACAGTGTCTATAGCAAGAGAAAGCTTCTTAGCATTCATGAGAATGTGAGGGTATTGCGTTATCCCGACCACTTCTCTACTGGTGTCTATCTATGGTATGCATTACTTTTAGAATTGAGTGTGCACTGGCATTTAACTTGTAACCTTTTACCATTATAATATATTGGATCTTTTCAGACTTGATATGTATTTCTTTTACCTATAGGTCCCACCATGAAAAGCTTGTAATTGTTGATTACCAAATTTGTTTTATTGGTGGACTTGATTTATGCTTTGGCCGCTATGACACGTTTGAACACAAGGTGGGTGATAATCCTCCCCTAGTCTGGCCTGGAAAAGACTACTATAACCCAAGGTAAGCTTTTTGTTTAAGCAAAGATTCTCCTTAATTTTTCAGAAATTTGTTTCCAATTTGACTTGTTCATTCTTTTTGGCCTTTCATGAACTCCTCACATTTCAGTTGTCATCAGTTATTATATGCTTAATTTGTACACCATTCTCTTGTAGTGTGGTATTACAGTGGAAGACATCATTACAAGTGTACTGGTTGGATTTTTTGGGCTGATTTTTCGCACACTATCTATCATAACTTTGACAGTGACTTTTGCCTCTAGTTAAAGTATCTACCACTTGCAAGGTTTTGGGCTTGTGTGTCAATAGATGTTCCCCAACAGTTTGCTGAATTCTTTTGGTTAAATGGGTTTAACTCCAAAGTTTGTTTAAAGAGATGATGAATAAATAGATGTTCAATGGGTTAACTCCAAAGTTTGTTCAATGGGCTTGTGCGTAATATATGTTTCCCAGCTTTCAAGATTTTTTAACTGCCTATTGTGTAATCCCCCCCCTTCTCCCTTTTCCGATAATGTTCTTGGAAAAAAGGGACAAATATTCAGGTTACAAGTAATTTCAAATGAAACAAAATTTCAATTTCATTTTCATCAGGGAATCTGAACCAAATTCATGGGAAGATACAATGAAAGATGAGTTGGATCGAGGAAAATATCCTCGAATGCCTTGGCACGATGTCCATTGTGCACTCTGGGGACCACCTTGTCGTGATGTAGCACGACATTTTGTTCAGCGCTGGAACTATGCTAAGGTCATATTTATTTAGAATTAATAGTGAACATTAAAAATGCAATAACTTTGTTATTTAACAAAGCTTTGCTTATTTCTTTTTTTTTTCTTTTTTCCAGAGAAATAAAGCTCCATATGAGGAAGCAATTCCACTACTTATGCCTCAGCACCATATGGTGATTCCACATTATATGGGAAGAAGCAAAGAGATTGAGTTTGAGAGCAAGAATGTTGAGGGCAACAATAAAGGCATCAAAAGACAGGATTCCTTTTCTTCTATATCATCTTTACAAGATATTCCTCTACTTTTGCCTCAAGAGGCTGAGGAGTTGGATAGCTGCGGTGGGTTTCCAAAATCAAATGAGTTGGATGCTACTGCCAGTAAAAGTGTTACTTTTGCTTTTCGAAAGTCCAAAATAGAACCAGCAGTTGCAGACACACCCATGAAAGGCTTTGTTGATGACCTTGACTCCTTGGATCGTCATATGGAAAGATCTTCAGATGTAAAAAGAAAGCATGCAAGCAAAAATTCAGACCCAGAGTGGTGGGAAACACAGGAACGGGGTGATCAAGTTGGTTTTCTAGATGAAGCTGGACAGGTTGGTGCCCGAACTTCATGTCATTGTCAGGTGGGTTGTATTTCATCAAGACCTTTAAAGTTTTACATATGGCTCATAATATTTGTTTATATTTTGTTATGTTGATATCTCAAATTCTTAGTGTTATATCAAGAAGTAAACAAAAATTTCATTGAAATTCAGGCCATAGACTTTGTTAATCAGCATATTACTGTTACAAGACAAAAACAAAAATTATAGCAATAGGGAAAAGAAAGTAATGTCTCTGGTCATAATATTGGTTCATGTCATCAGCGTTGTGCATTTGCAGCCCATGAAATTCTTTTGTGCTTAATGAGATTCAACTTTCACTAATGAAAGGAAGGCTAAGAGTTAGTTTGAGCTTGGCGCAATGATGACATTAATGTGATCTGTCACTATTTCTACAATTCTGTTTGACTTTCCTTTTTTTTTTTGAAGAGGGACTTTGAGCTTATAAGTAGTGCAAATCAGTGATGATCTATAATTTTCAGATTATAAGGAGTGTCAGTCAGTGGTCTGCTGGAACCAGCCAAATAGAAGAGAGCATTCACTGTGCTTATTGCACCCTCATTGAGAAAGCAGAACACTTTGTTTATATAGAGGTATATGCTGATTTTCTTAATTTTTTACTTTGAAGTTCACTATGAAACGTGTAATTGCATGGCTTACTCTCTTTCTTTCTGTTGTTTCATTCTTTTTCAACCTTTCCCAGAACCAATTTTTTATATCAGGCCTCTCAGGGGATGAAATTATTCGGAATCGTGTGTTAGAAGCATTATACCAGCGTATTATGCGGGCTTACAATGATAAGAAGTGTTTCAGGGTTATTATTGTCATACCCCTGCTTCCTGGTTTCCAGGTTGTAATTTTTTGCCACTACTCTTTTTAATTTGGAGTTCAGATAATAGTATTATGTCTGAACTGATTTTTAAGTTTAACAGGGTGGTGTTGATGATGCTGGTGCAGCATCTGTGAGAGCCATAATGCATTGGCAGTATCGAACCATTAGCAGAGGACAGAATTCAATATTGCATAATCTTTATGAAGTTCTTGGTCCTAAAACTCATGATTACATATCTTTCTATGGCCTTAGAGCGTATGGAGAACTTTTTGATCTTGGTCCTGTGGCTACCAGTCCAGTATGTTCTTGCACTAACATTTATCTTGCTCTATCATTTGCCACATCTACATAATTCTCCTTACGGTGGCATAATATCATGTCATATTAATGATGAAAGTTTAGCATGTAGCATGCACATGTTTGATGATTTATTTGTCCCCTACTATTCCTGCAGGTATATGTGCATAGTAAAATCATGATAATTGATGACTCTGCAGCCTTAATTGGATCTGCTAATATTAACGATAGAAGTTTACTCGGCTCAAGAGATTCAGAGGTATCACTGTATTCTGGATTATTTTTAAGTTGTTGCTGTGAAATTGGGTGTTTTAGGGTTTAAAAAATATAGTTGGGGGGCTAAAATTTTAATGGACATAGGGCAAAATATAGTGGAATCAAGAACACGGGTTGCTGGCAATTTGGTATGAACATAGTTGAAGTGGATCAGTAATAGAATTGATAGGTAAAGATGTGAAGATTTGAAACACAAAACTAGTGTTTCAATTATATGATAAAAGGGTTTGACTTAGGTTGGCATAAACTCAAAATTATATGATAAAGGGGTTTGATGGTTTCCTGGACAATGGAACAATTCAACATTATTTTTATCCTTGACTAAGATATAGCATATCTGTATTACTTCTCCAAGAAGATTGATGTCAATTAATATTTCAGATTGGTGTGTTTATTGAAGACAAAGAATTTGTTGATTCACGGATGGGGGAAAATCCATGGAAGGCTGGAAAATTTGCTTTGAGTCTTCGCCTCTCATTGTGGTCTGAACATCTTGGTCTTCGCAAAGGAGAGGTTTGTCAGTCATCATCCATATTTACTTATTTTACATTCAGATAATGCTCATTTAACTGGACTTGGAGGTCAGTCATATGATATTCATAGCATCTTGTGTTTTTCAGCTGATAAATGCATTTTTCCCTTTTCACCTCAGATAAATCGAATAATAGATCCCATTAGTGATTCGAGTTATAAAGATATATGGGTTGCGACTGCAAAGGTAAGAACTGGAATTGTATGTTTCTTTAGTACTTACACATTTTATATTCTGAAATGCTTCAATTAAAAGGAATCAAAGAATTTCAGGGGGTTTTGAAAATTACCCAGATAAGTAGTGTAATGACACTTAGCCTTCCTAATGAGGCTAGATGATTACATGGTTTAAGAACTTACAACTGCTCAATGACCTGATACATACATATTATTTTGAATAATAAGGATTACGATCTGTAACTCGTAACTCCAAGTAACAAACATCGAATGCTTTATATGACAGATGAATACAACAATCTACCAGGATGTCTTTGCCTGTGTCCCAAGTGATCTCATACATTCCCGGTATGACTACAGCTCTCTCACTCCTTTCCTTTTCTATTTGGTTATCTTATTACGACACTAACTCGATGGACGACAACATGCAGGCTTGTCCTCCGACAAAGCATCACTTTTTGGAAGGAAAGACTTGGTCACACTACAATTGATTTAGGAATAGCCCCTGAGAAATTAGAATCATACCACAATGGAGATATCAAACAAACAGATGCCATGGATAGATTAAAGTCGGTACGAGGACATCTTGTTTCTTTCCCATTGGATTTCATGTGCAAAGAAGATTTAAGACCTGTGTTTAATGAGAGTGAATATTACGCATCTCCTCAAGTTTTTCATTGAGTGGGGAAATTATACAAAACCCCATTTTTTTTTTTTGGCATCGATTGCATACGATTCCTCATATTTTTTCCCCTAACAAATTTGCACATAAATTAGAGAGAGAAAAAAAACAAAAAAATAAGCAAGCCTCGTTGAGGAAATATGCATTTCATCATTCTTTGTATATTTATCTTTGATTTTTTCTCAACTAATAATATTCTGTCAATGTCTATAATCTTCTCTTGCATCATGAATCTTCTTGCCTTTTATTAGAACAACCAGTTGATATAAGCTCATGCATTAGGGATCAAAAGAAAAAAAAAAATCAAAATGTATAATGCTATAGGCTATCCCCTTTCCAAATTCTAAAATGGTTTCGAAATTTGCCAAATCCATCTTACAAAAAAAACGGATATTGATATTGATTATATATATTGAATTTGGCATGAACCCCAATTTCAAATAAGAAAAATCACATAATTTGCTCTGTATTAACATAAATTCCTTCATCACTATAAATAGGGTCTCTTCATTCATTCACTCAACTTCATTAAAAAAATTCTATTCATTAAAATTCGAATAGGTGAGATCCTTATCCATTAAAATTGTAATACAGGTTTTGATTTGAGCAACTAAACTATGTTATGGCTTGCTGTTATTATACTAGGATTATTACTTATGTCATGATTATTTCTTATTGAACGATTTCAGATATTACAAATTGTTCATACATATTCAGTCCATTTAATTATAACTTACATATAGTTAAAATAACAAGTTATAAAAATCAACACCCGTAACAACGCCTGAAAAGTAACCTTATTTAATCACTAATTTGAATATTACCAACATATCACTTTTTCAATCTCAATGGTGCATTGAGCGTGCCCTTGTTTTACGCTCCTTTATCAAGCAAACGATAAACTGGAATTGCAAACAAATGATTAGCCCTTGGCAATGAGAGGCCAAACTTTTCGCTCATGTCCAGTTCATTAGGCAGCATCCCATCAGGCAACTCCCAGTCAAAGCAATGGACTAATTGAGCTATAACTAGACGCACAGTGAGTAGGCCTAACTGCAAACCAGGGCATCCTCTACGACCTGATCCAAACGGGATGAGTTGGAAATCATGTCCCCGAAGGTCTATATTGGTACCAATGAACCTTTCTGGAACAAATTCTTCAGCATTATCCGACCATACGTTTTGGTCTCTTGCCATAGACCAAGTATTCACCAGGATTCGTGACTTCTTTGGTATGAAATATCCATCGACAGTGACATCTTCCATGGACTCACGTGGAACTAGGAATGGTGCAACCGGATGCAACCTCAGGCTCTCTTTCACAACCATGTCCAAATATGTTAGCTTCGGTAGATCCGACTCTTCCACCATTCTATTCCTTCCCACCACGGTTTCTAGCTCTTTTTGAAGACCAACCATCACTCGAGGATGCCTTAAAAGCTCTGAAAATGTCCACTCAATGGCTGTGGCTGACGTGTCAAATGAAGCTGCAATCATGTCCACCATTATAGCCTTGATGTTTTTTCTGTCAATCATGTATGCTTGACCTTCGTCATCGTGAGGGTTCATGGGTTTGTTCATCAATGAAACCATCACATCAACGAAATCTCTCGGAGGCTTTCGTTCCTCAAGATTAATCTCTTGTTCATGTTCATTGATTATTTTCTCAAAAAATGTATCAAGGGCCTTAATCGTCTTTTTGAGCCTTCGTGTAAATCCCTGTGAAGGGGATATATAAACATAGTTAGATATGATAATTTACAATATGAATATGAATAAAAAAAATAAAATGATGTTATTTAAAATTTTAATAATAATTATATATAAATTTAATAAAATAAAAAAATATATTATATATTTTTATATTAATATAAATTAAAATATTCAATTTTAATCTAAAACATAACATAAATATATAAATTTTAATATTTTATATAAAATGAATATACAAATGATCGTATCTGAACATAGTTATTTAATTAATTCATTATTATAGTTAATTTTCAAAGTGAAAATGCTAAAAGATTGGTTGCATTTCTTATTTATTTGGTAAACTTACAGCATTTTGATTTTTTTTTTTTTAAATTGAATTGAATAGGTAAGAAAATCAAACTAAATCCCAAGGCTAAAAATAAAATAATATGGGAAACGAAAAAGATATACCTGAACGTCAAGTGGAGCAAGATAAGGCAAATAATCCGATAGATTAAAAACCCCCGACAAATGCATGGTTTCTTCAATTAGCGGCTTCAAGTCGAATCCATCATCCATGGAGCGTCCCAAGATAACTTTAGACATGATTTCTTCAATAAGCTCACCTACCTTTCCGCTAAGGTCCACCGTCTCCCCCGCCGCCGCCGCCTTCTTCATTGACTCAACCAATGATCCAAGTTCCGCCTTCCTTACCGGGGCAAAATGCTCAACTTTTGAAGCACTAAGGAGATGCAAAGTACACCATTTCCGAACAGTTCGCCAATAGGAACCGTACTGGGTAAAAGCCATGCCCTTGGCACCATACGTCAAGTACTCCGAGGATTGGACTTTAGGCCTGCTAGCAAAAACAAGATCATGAGTTTTGAGGAATTGTTCAGCGGCTTGAGGGGAAGATACCACGATTGTTGGTACGTAGCCGAGCCTTAGTGACATTATGGGGCCATATCTTTTGGCTAGATGGTGAAGGTTTTGGTGTGGAAGCTTCCCTAGCATATGGAGGTTGCCGATTATAGGTAGGGCGCGGGGACCAGGTGGAAGTTTCTGGCCATTTTTGTGGCGGTTTGGTAGGGATGAGGTGGTGCGAAAGATGTTGATCAAGGCACAGACAGTTCCAAGGAGAGCCACGAGTAACGCTAACGTTGAAGGAGACATTTTGGGGAGGGTTGAGCGAGTTGCAACTTGCGATAGCCAAGGTGATTACTTAATTATTATTTTAAGACGTCTGAATGTGTTCTAATGTTTTAAAACAATAACTATTTTTATTTATATTTGAACTTGTTTATTTTATTATATATTTTTATTTTAAATAATATGTTAATAATTATTATAATATTATTTTTTGAAATATTAAACATAAGATAAATGAGTTGCACATTTTTGCTATTGCTGGAAAGACAAGGATTTGGTGTTGCTAAGCTTGACAACCCACCAATGCTCAATTACATTTATGTTATGTAAAATATTAATAATTTATATATTTATATTATATTTTATATAAAAATTATATATAATAATTTATATTAAAATAAAATATAAAAATATATTTTTATTAAATTTATATATAATTTATGTTAAAATTTTGAATTAAATTATTTTTATTTTTATATATTTTTATTTTTTTTCCAATATTTTATATTATCACGAGGAACTTTACCAATTGTCAAAATTGTACAATTTTTTTTTTCTTTTTCTTTTCTCTTTTTTCTACGAGATGCATTTGACCTTATTTCAACTTGCCAATTAATACCCAACTTCTAGCTCATGGTTTTGAAAACAGTCCCAACTTCTAATTTTTTATTTAAAAAATATTTTTAAAAGTGACAAGAAAAATATAATTTAAAATTTTAAATGCTTAATATTATTATAAAAAATGCTGTTGTGAATTAAAATATCTTAAAAGTTATACATTAAATAATAAAAATATAATGATATTAGGTTCATAAAATCATTTTACTTAAAAAATTACGAAAACACGTTTTTAAAAATTTTTTCATTCGAGTTTGCAAACTAAAGTTTTAAATAGAAACGGAAATGATTGTTATCTTCTATTTTCTTATTGTTTAGTATTGAACTGTCAAAAGCAAATTTTAAACACAAAAATCACTTTCAACTTTAATGATAAATTAATTTATAATTTATAGGTACCAACAAGTTATTAATTTAATTAATTAAAATTTATTCTTATTAGCAAAAATATTTTGAATTTAAATTTTGTTGATAAAAATTTATTAAAATTATTTTGAATGTATAATTTATAATTATTTATCTTAAATTATTTAATATGATTCATTTTATTTTAACTTAAAAAATTAAAAAAATATTTATTTTTATTTATTAAAATTATTTTAAATATGTAATTTATAATTATTTATTTTAAAATATCAAATATAAAATATTTTAATTTAATTTAAAAAATTAAATAACCTATCTATACGAAAATTCATACTCTACGAGTTATTGTGCAACTGAAGTATTGAACTTGCATGAATGAATACCACCAAAAATTGTAATGAAGGTTATTGCCTTGTTCCTTTGAAGTGATGTTTCATTTAAACAGAAAGGAAAATTCGAACTGAAAAACAATTTTTGAGTAAAGAGATACATGAATTTTTATTGAATTCAATGAACCAGACGTACAAAAGTGATATTTCAGTAATGGTTTATATGATCCATCATGGCTGTATGCAACAAAGGCTGTCGTAGTCTAGAAATGATGGCAACGGGTCAAATCAAGTGATTTAGTTTGAATGGAATTTGATTTTATATTTATAAAATTTAAATTAATTCGAAAATTTTTTTTATTTTTTTTATTTTGATTTGACATTTTATAAATTATATTTAATATGATTTAATTTGAAATTAATAAAATATTATTTTTATATAAATATAAATTAAATAAATATATAAATATATATAAATAAATATTAAATAATTAATTAAAAATAATTATATAAATACTTGATCCGACTCTTAAACTTAAAATTTTTTTCTGACAGACTAGAAATCGGTAGCCTGCTTTACTCTTTTCAACTTTTATCTCTTTATACACATATATATTATTTTATTAAAAAATAAAAGTAAAAGATAATAATGAAATTAACCATCGTTTAGAAGTCAAATTATTTATCCAAATCAAAATATCACTAAAATTTTAGATAACAAATTAAAATAGGTTCGATGAATTTAAACATAAATTTTAAATAAAATATTTAAAATTTAAACTCGATTTAAATTTATTTATAATTTTTATTTATATATAAAAATTATATATAAATTAATTTTTATATATTTTATTATTTTATTAATATATATAAATTATATGTATAAAAATTAAATTTTAATTTTAATTTTAACTTATTTTTAATTTATATATATAATTTTTATTTTTAATACATATAAATTAAATATAATTTCATTAAATTAAATTATATATTTTTAAAATTTTTTATTATATAATTTAAGTTTAATAGATGAATTTAAAATTTATTTTTTTAATTTTAATCTGACTTCAACAAATTTTAAAAATTAAAATTTTGAATCAATTATTAATATCAATATCAAACGTATAAACTATTAATATGAACACGACCCAAACCCGGCCATGATCATCTCTTGTTGCCGCTTGCCCCGTATTTTCCCTCTTTTCAGCATGATTTTCGGATCATGCTTCCTTCACTTTCTTTTCTATCCAGACCACTGACCATGAGTAAAGCGGATCGGCTGAGGGGGAATTTTTCACAGAAGAAAAAAATAGTAGCACTCCACAACCGAAGCCTCACCATCAACCCTAAACAACCCATTCGGCCAAATCCACACCCTTAACCGAACCAACAATCCAACACCAAGTCACCATCAACCTAACCGAAACCCCAACGTGCTACCAACATCAACCCTAGACCTCCACCAACAAACTACCACCTAGCTCCATTGGAACCCCTCACAAGGCCGTTCGGCCCTTCCCTTACCCACATCTTTCACCAACCTGTCACCAAAACAACCCCAACTATCCAAAATTCAACCGAAACCCAGTTTGCTCGAATCGAAAATCACAAAAAAAAAAAAAAAAAGCCACATCCCTGGGAAGGGAGAAGCGGCACCGAATGCAAAGAAAAGCCAGCAAAAAAAAAAATAAAAAATTCAATAAAAATCTGAGCTTGTGGAGATCTAGAATTGTTAAGACTGGTTTTGAGAAATCTGAGCTTGGGTCCACGATAAGAACAAAATTACTAGAAAGTATTTTTAAGTAAAAAATAATTTTAAAAATCCTACTTAGATATAGAAGAAATAATTATTTTTACTAAGAAATATCTTTTTATTTAAAATAATTATTGTAAGTTTTCGAGAATAATCAATTTTTTAAAGTTTCACCTCGATATTAAAGAATAAAAAAATATTTCATCATTAAAAACTTTTGTTTAGAGAGATAATAATAAAGGACATAAAAATGGTGAAATGAAACTGATTATTAGTATCGTAGGATTTTACTTTTTTATTTATATCATTTATTATATATTATATCATATGCATGATATTTGTTTATAATAAAATTGAAGTGATAAAATAATATTTTGAAAAAAAGATTTTTAGAAATAAAAGGTAAATTTTTTAAATAACAAAATATTTGAGACCCCACTTAAATATTAAAAGATTTTTTAATAATTATTTTTTATGAAAGAATATTATGTCAATTTTTAAGGAATATTATGATAATTTTAAGTGGAGAAAAACTTTTCATAATTTCGTTTAGATATTCAAGAATTAGAAAATATTTTGAAATTAAATATTTTTATTTTATAACTAAATAAATAAATAAAATTAAATATGTATTAGATAAATTAAATTGATCGTCTACATTTTAATTTGTATTTGCATCATACATTTACTTTTTGTGTATGTGTTTGCATTTCATTATCTTCAAAAAATTAATAAATAGTGATTTTTGGAGAATTATTTTAATTAAATAAAAAAATAATATTTGTAAGCAAAAATAATTCTTAACATCCTGTCTAGATATTAGAGTGTTTATTAATAATTATTCTTTATAAAGGAATATGTTCTGATTTTGTGGAGTATTATGAAAATCTCAAGTAAAAGAATATTTTAAAATTTTGTATAGATATTAGAGAATTAAAAAATATTTTGATATTAAATATTTTATTTTATTCTTAAATAAAAAATTTAAAAAATATTTTTTAAAAAAATTTAAAGGAATAATTTTTAAATATTTAAATTAAAATATTTTATCAATATAAAAGATAACGTATAATTAATTAGTATTGTTTTTAAAATCTACATTGTGAGAGTGTTAATTTTTCTCACGCATAATCTATTCTAGAAACGAACTTTATTTTTATAGATCAAAATTATTTTTTTGATAAATTTTAAATTCGTTTTATTATTTTATTAAAAATATAAAATTTTTAGATGAATAATCATACTTTTAAAAAATATTAGTGATGAGTTCCCTTGTTTTGAAATTTTTTTAAAATTTTCGTTCTTGATAACTTATTAAGGATCATTATTTTTTTAAAAGAGTTAGATAAAAAATTAATCATATGTTATCTTAAATTTTTGCTTATTAATTTTTAAAATATTAATAAATTAATATTGATGATGATATAAATATCAAAAGAAATGCATGTAAGTTTTAGATGCAGAAAAAAAAAAAAGAAAAAAGAAAAGGAACTTGTTTCTCTTATAGCTTGAATATATTAAAATTAATAGTTAAAAAATATATTAAACTTTTTTCCCTACTGAATATGTGGTTATTATTATATTATGGGAATTTAGTGATCTTTTTGTTAGTTTTGGCTTCTGTATTTGATTCGGAGATTTTAGTTATTTGCATTTAAAAAATTTAATAAATTTATCTTTTAAAATTTCTAATAAATTTGTATAAATAAAAATAATTATTTTATAACAAAACAAAAAATAAAAATCACATTATTTGACATGAACCCTAAACTCGTTCAAAAATCTAAAGTGATTTCGAAGTTTGCCAAATCCATCTTAAAAAAAAAAAAAGGATATTAATATTGATTATCGACATTGAATTTGACATGAACCCCAATTTCAACTAACAAAAATCTCATAATTTGCTCTCTATATTTACATAAAACTCCATCTTACTGTCTCTTCATTCATTCATTCATTCACTTAACTTGCCCCCAATCCAATCAACAACCCCTGTTTAATGATGAAGAGTTTAGTCTTTAACGCCACAAGTCAGCATAACTTTTTTCTCACAATTTTCCTTTAAAATATAATTTTTTAAGTGTATGCGTCTTACTTGACATCTTATTTGGTAATATTAATAGTGATTTGATAATTTTAATACCTATCTGGCAATCTAACATTCCGTGTAATATACTGTCCAAATTACATTAAAAAAAGTCTTTATTTATTAATTCGAATAAATAATATCTTTATTTATTAAAATTGCAATAAAGGTCGTAATTTGAGCAGCTAATAAACTATGTGATGACTGAAAAAGACCTTTTGTAGGTAAATTTGTGAAGTTTATGAAATTTTTTATTAAAAATGAGTAAATAAAAATAAAAATTAATAAATTAAAAAATTTTATTATATAGATCAAATGTATAAATTTTAAAATTTTTTTAATAAATTTGGATATATTTATTAATTAGATATTTTTAATAAAAATATTGATGAAATTTTTATTATTAAATAAGTATTGATCAAATTTAAATTATAAATAATATTTTTAATATTTTTTTATATATTATTAATATTTGCATCAAATTTTATCAATTTATCGATTTAAATATTTTATTAAAATTTTTATTTATTTATTTTTAATAACAAATTTTATAAACTTATGAAATTTCATGTAAATTTATCTTGTTATGATTTACTGTTATTATGATTAGGATTCTTACCTTTGCCATGATTATTTCTTATTGAATGATTTTAGATATTACAAATTGTTTATATATTCAGTTCATTAAATTATAACTTACTAAATAATTAAAATAACTAAGTTAAAAAATAATTGAACAACCGTGTCAACGAATGAAAAGTAACCTCATTGAACGTACCCTTGTTTTACATTCCTTTATCAAACAAACGATACACTGGCTTAGCAAACAAATGATTAGCCCTTGGCAATGAGAGGCCAAACTTTTCGCTCATGTCCAGTTCATTAGGCAGCATCCCATCGGGTAACTCCCAGTGAAAGCAATGGACTAATTGAGCTATTACTAGACGCACAGTGAGTAGGCCTAACTGCAAACCAGGGCATCCTCTACGACCTGATCCAAACGGAATGAGTTGGAAATCATGTCCCCGAAGGTCTATATTGCTACCAATGAACCTTTCTGGAACAAATTCTTCAGCATTATCCGACCATACGTTTTGGTCTCTTGCCATGGACCAAGTATTCACCAGGATTCGTGACTTCTTTGGTATGAAATATCCATCGATAGTGACATCTTCCATGGACTCACGTGGAACTAGCAATGGTGCAACTGGATGCAACCTCAGGCTCTCTTTCACAACCATGTCCAAGTATGTTAGTTTCGTTAGATCCGACTCTTCCACCATTCTATTCCTTCCCACGACGGTTTCTAGCTCTTGTTGAAGACCAACCATCACTCGGGGATGCCTTAGGAGTTCTGAAAATGTCCACCCAATGATTGCAGATGAAGTGTCAAATGAAGCTGCAATCATGTCCAATATTATAGCCTTGATGTTTTTTCTGTCAGTTATGTATGCTTGACCTTCATCATCGTAAGGGTTCATGGGTTTGTTCAACAATGAAACCATCACTTCAACGAAATCTCTATGAGGCTTTCGTTCATTGAGATTAGCCTCTTGTTCATGTTCATCGATTATTTTCTCAAAATATTTATCAATGGCCTTGCTCGTCTTTTTGAGCCTTCGTGCAAATCCCTGTGCAGGGGATATATAGAATAAGTTAATCTTAATAATCTAAAACACAATACAATAATTCAAAACAAACACCATATTAATAAAAAACTCAACAATAATATGGTTTAAAATTTTAACAATAATTATATATAAATTTAATAAAATAAATTTTTTTTATTTTTATATTAATACGAATTAAAACACATAAATTTGATATAAAATACAACATGAATATATGAATAGTAACACTTTATACAAGATGAATACGCAAACTGTAATTATTGAATTAATTCATTATTAGAATTAATTTTCAAAGTGAAAATGCTAAAAGATTGGTTGCATGTCTTATTTATTTGGTCAATTTGCAGTATTTGTTTTTTAAATTCAATTGAATAGGTCAGTAAATCAAATTAAATCCCAAGGTTAAAAATAAAATAAAACTTAAAAACAACAAGTCAATTCTATGTAAATAATTAATTTTAATTTTTTTTATTTTGTGAATCAATCATTTTTCAAACCAAAATTTCAAAGAATATTACTGTTCGAATTAAATTTTTATTCTGTCGGGTTTTTTTAGTCTATATAGTTGATGAAATTTGTAAAATTTTTTATTAAAAATAATTAAATTCAAAATTCAAATTAAAAGTAATAAATTCAAAAATATTTTTTCATAAATCAAATATATAAAGTTTTAACAAAATTATATTATTTTCAAATAAATATTTTTAATAAAAATTTAACAAAATTTTATCAAATTTTAATTATAAATAAATTTAAAATTTTTTTAATATATTATTAATTTTCACATTAAACTTTATTAATCTATCAACTTAAAATTTTTATTAAATTATTTTTAAAAATAATATCTATAGGAAGATATATTTTTGAAAATAATGGTAATTATAAAATAAAATAATATGGGAAACGAAGAAGATATACCTGAAGGTCAAGAGGAGCAAGATAAGGCAAATAATCCGATAGATTAAAAACTCCCGACAAGTGCATGGCCTCTTCAATTAGCAGCTTCAAGTCGAATCCATCATCCAAGGAGCGTCCCAAAATAACTTTAGACATGATTTCTTCAATAAGCTTACCTACCTTTCTGCTAAGGTCCACCGTCTTCCCCGCCACCGCTGCCTTCTTTATTGATTCAACCAACGACCGCAGCTCCGCCTTCCTTACCGGGGCAAAATATTCAACTTTTGAAGCACTAAGGAGATGCAAAGTACACCACTTCCGAACAGTTCGCCAATAGGAACCGTACTGGGTGAAAGCCATGCCCTTAGCACCATACGACAAGTACTGCGATGATTGGACTTTAGGCCTGCTAGCAAAAACAAGATCATGGGTTTTTAGGAATTGTTCAGCGGCTTGAGGTGAAGATACCACGATTGTTGGTACGTAGCCGAGCCTTAGTGACATTATGGGCCCATATCTTTTGGCTAGATGGTGAAGGTTTTGATGTGGAAGCTTCCCTAGCATATGGAGGTTGCCGATTATAGGTAGGGCGCGGGGACCAGGTGGAAGTTTCCTGTCATTTTTGTGGCGGTTTGATGGGGATAAGGTGGTGCGAAAGGCGTGGATAACGGCACAGACAGTTCCAAGGAGGGCCAAGATTAAGGCTAATGTTGAAAAAGACATTATGGGGAGGGGTGAGCGAGTTGCAATAACCCTATGTGATTGCTTATTTATTATTTCAAGACGCCTAAACGTATTCTGAATTTTTTAAACAATAATTAGCTGTTGCCAAGCTCAGCAACCCACAACCCACAGAAAATTGTATATTTATGTCATATAAAATATTAATAATTTATATATTTATATTATATTTTATAAAAAAATTATATATAATACTTCATATCAATATAAAATATATTTTTTATTTTATTAAAATTTTAAATTATATTATTTTTTAATTTTTATATTGTTTTATTTTATTGTGGTTTAAATTATTAAATTTAATTGTTATAACGTTTTAGATTTTTCTAATTTTTTAGTCATTAAAATAATGTATTCCACATAGATATTTTCATCAAGGTAAACAAAGTCCATGTTGAAGCAATTTCTCCTGTTTTAAAATGTTGAAGCTGAATCTCATCAACCAGATCTTTGGAAAGCGACTTTTTAATATTTCTCACAATTAATAAATACATTTCCAGAGGCTAAAAAGAAAATTCTACAGTTTCAAGCCTTTTGTAGTGATAATATTTTTTATGATAATATTTTTTATATTGAAAAAAGTTTAAATTTCACTCTTTAAATAAAAAAAATATAATTTATCATTAAATCAAATATGTGTAAGTTTTTAACAAGGTTGTGAATAATAAGAAGTTAATGAATATATTTTTTTCAAAATAAAAAGTTAATGAAAATATTTAATAATAACTGCAATTTGAATTTACTAAGAAAAAAAAGGAAAGATTGTTACTATTTTTATTTTTATCTAAAATAAATTATTTAAATTAAAAAGATTATTGAAAAAAAAAGAGTGATTTTTTCATAAAAAATGATAAGTTAAGTGAGCATACTTACAAAATTATTTATCATTTTTAAAATTTTATTTTTTAATTTACAAAAATATAATAATAAAATAACATAATTTTTATTTTTTTATTTTTTAATCCTACCAAATAATAAGTAAAAATTCTTTTTTTTTTATTTTACCTGACAAGGATATGATAAAAAGAAATATATATTTTTCTATTTTTTGGCTTTTTTTTTTCAATACTTTATATTTTAAATTTTCTATCCAATAAGAATATTTGGCAATAAAACGAGGAACCTTATCAATTGTTAAAATCGTACAATTTTTTTTCTTTTCCTTTTTCCTACGATATTCATTCTTTCAATTTGCAGTACCCAACTTCTAGATTATGGTTTTGAAGCAGACCCAACTTTTTTTTTTAAATGTTTTTAAAAGTGCCATGAAAAATATGATTTAAGATTTTTAAATTCTTAATAAATTATTGTAAAAAATGCTGTTGTAAATTAAAATATCTAATAAATATGTATTAAATAATAAAAATATAGAGATTTAGGATAATAACAAGATATGGGTTTTTTTTTAAGGATTTTAGCTTTTGAAAGTGATGTTTCGTTTAAAAGAGAAAAAAAGAAAATTCGATCTAAAAATAATTTTTGAGTAAAGAACACATGAATTTTATATTGAAATTAAATGAATCACGTGCAGACAAGTGCAAAAGTGATATAATTCATAATGGGTTTATGTGGTCCATCATGGCCATATCCAAGAAAGGCGTCAGATTCCAAACTTTAAATAGGACAAACTAGAAATTGACAGCCTACCTACTTTCTTCACTCTTATCAGCCTGCATCCGATTTCCTTGCCGTTTTTGCCAAATCAAATTATTGTAGATTGGCCATGTTAGCTGACACAAGCCTCAGATCACATTCCTTGCATTAACGTCGATTCATCTGCCGTATCCTTCACAAGATTCAATTACATGTATTTATAAGTCGGTTTCAACTTGATTAATTAATTAATTATTAAATTAATTTTAATTAATAAATAAAATAATTTTACAATAATTTTAATTTTTGATGAATTTAATTTGAAATTGGATTAATTATATTAATCAAAATTTTAATTAAAATATAAAATTAAATATAAAATAAAAAAATATATGAAATGAATCATTTTATTTCATAAAATATTAGAGTTTTTAATATAATATTTTGATATTTAAATATTTTATTAGATAATTTTATTTAAGTTGTTTAAGATATAAAAATTAATAGTTTAAAATACGATTTAATTTAAATATATCTATTATTTAATTAATTAAAAATATTAATTAAATTGATTAAATTAAATTTGATGGATTAATTTTTAAAATTAATAAATTTGATTCGATTAATAAAAATAAAATAAAATAATTTAATTAATTTGATTTTTAATAATTCAATTCAAAATTAACAAAACCGATAGAATGAATACTCCAACTCCAATTCTTCATATTTTTTAACAATGATGGAAAATGTTATTCTTATCTCATGTATCCAACAACATTCGTAAATGCACACCTCCAAAATTAAGAATCCAATGATGAATATCTCTGTTACACTAAAATCATATGAATGTAATCCAAGGAAATTTACTTGAAGTTTTGAATAAAATTACTCCAAACTTTAATTAAAAAATAAAAAATTTAAATATATAATAAAAAATACATAATATGAATCACAGCTCCCTTTTAAACGATCATTATACTTCTCATCTTGGGAGGAGAAAAATAATTTTTACCTAGAAAACATATTCACTTTTATGGGCTTAAAAACTCATAAAGTGAAAAAGAAAATACATTATTGCTAGATTTAGAGTTTAGACGTGCCCAAGTAGTTTAACGGTTAAAAGTACTTGAGGGGATATTAAAGATCTGATTTCAAACTAAATCTCTTCTCTTTCCTCTATTTATACTAAGATTTTACCATTTTAATGTAATAATAATAAAAAAAGAGTTTAGTCATATAAAGCTCCTAGAACTGAAAATGCCATAGTATCATTTTAAGTCTGATATAATAACAAATCTTGCCTTTTTAATGTAATAATAATTTTAAGTCTGATATAATAATAAAAGAAAGACATCTTAAGGAAGAAAAGTTAAAACCGGCGTTTCCAATTATTCTGTCACATCATAATGTCAGATAAAATGATCAAAATCATATTTGAAGAGCAATTGTAAAAATTCACAGGGTCCTTTTCAAAAAACCAAGGCGGCAAAATGGTAAATAACACCAGTGAAAGAGCATATTTAGTTTGCATCTGCTTCTTTGGAATTTATGTTGAAGGTTGTGATAAGTTACAACTAGAGGTTTATAACCCCAAAGTTTGAAAAATCAGTGTTGATAAAGGCTATGTAAGATGTAAAGGCATGATATAACAAATGCTGACAAATCAGTGTTGATAAAGGCTATGTAAAAAAAATCCAAATGATATAACCCCAAACAAAGTTTGAAAAATCAGTATTGATAAAGGCTATGTAAGATGTAAAGGGATGATCTAACAAATGCTGACAAAGAAAACACCCATTATGTCCACCTTTTGGAAGTGGTCTCAGTTTGGCGAAAGACTAATCTGAGTCATTAAAAATCTGTCAAAGGGAAAAGTTGGTGCAGAGGGGAGGGAAACATTAGCATTAGTCACATTAAAGAAAGTAAATTACCACAAGTACTTGCTTCAATGGAATCTTGTCATATGAAACTATGAACCCAATCATTAGAACTATGATAATTTCGATAAGATGAGAATCTTTAACCCTCAAAAACGATAGACAGGTCCTTTGAGATGGCTCACTTACAGACTCACCACTTGAGTTCATGAAAGTTTGTGGTTTGGCAAGCATGACTGGAACATTTCCTAGAATCCTGGAAAACAGTAACTATCTCCAGTTAAATATTGCATAATGGGACATTTTCAGTTACCTTGTATAGCCAGAAAAATTAGAAGTGACTGAACCTAATAAAACTTGTGTTTTTCATTTATTAGGCATGAACTAATTATCTGTATATATATTGATGGAATCTTTAATTAATATCAATCAGTAACTAAGCTCAGATACTAGACTTTGCCAAGCAGGTTACTTTGCATATATCTATGTCTTTGAAACTCTCGTTTGTTGTTCTATTCTATTATTTTGTACTAGTTTCTTAGTCACATATTCATATTTAACATAGCAGTTTATAAAACAATCAGTTAAAAGTTTCAATTACAAAGCAAATCACAGCTAAAATTTAGGAAGGATAAGATATAAAGAATAGGGAATTAAAATTTAGGAAGCGATTAATGCTTGGAGATTGATGAACTCAATTTCATGATTTTCTATGTTAATAGTCACCGCTATACTACAAGGACCTTGTTGATGAAATCAGTGCTAACAAATAATTTTAAAATGTTTTCTTTTGCAAATATGAACAAACTCACTTGTGAGATGCCTGTTTGTGGCTGACAAAGATTTCTTCCAAAATAATGTGGAAGCAAATGCAAAGCAATGTAAGACTAGTTTCCTTATGGTGCGAATGGAATGGCAATTTTCAAGCACATTTTCTTCCTCAGATTCTTCATATTTAGGCTTTGCTACAAGTGCTGCTATAGCTTCATGCAAGTTGTTCAACTTTTCATCCAAACTTGGGTGGAGAACATCATCAGAACCCCCTATAACAACCTGCATTATTACCAAGATATAGTGAGGCAATCAAATCATGAGATTAAGGATTGAAAATAGTTTAATAAAAGAAGTACAACAAAAGACTTAAATTCGAAAGGAGAGAATGTCGTCTGAACATCTAAGAGTAAATCAGACCTTACTTTGAGCAAATGACAAGCTTTGAACTTTCACAGTTAACACTGCATAAAGAGAGACAACTGCTCAGTTATCAACACGGTTCCTGGCTTCCATCTAACCTACTTTTGGATTTTTTTGAAACTAGAACACACCTCCATCAGGAAGATCATGGAGAGAAAAGCTGATTACAGGGAATGAAATATTGCAAATATATCCTAGAAAAAGGTCCAAAGCATCAAGAATCAAGCACAACAACTGTAAAATGGAAGAGGTCAATAAAATGGACAGATAAAAATTTTTTCTTTAAAACCATACAAGTACAAATCACCCTGATGGGGGAATGCGGGCAACAAACCTCAGCAAGCCCACTGATGAGTAGCAGCTTTATCCCTCCTCCTTAAGGAAGGATCCTTCTTCACACACTCAGCAGACTAAAGGGTCTCTGCAGGAGTATCACTTTTACCAGATTCAGTTGGTGTCACATCAGGATCACTCCTGGCTGACTCCTACTAGATTCTTCATCCCTTGAAATTTGCTCAGATTTGACTTCTGACTCATTCTGACAAGGTAAAAACCATGATAGATTGTAGCGCAGGTTGTTTGCTGTCTAAGATAGTTCTACAAAAAAGCATTGCAGATCATGAGGATTTAAATAGCGTAAACAGTTTGGATGAAGCAACTGCAACAACAAGCGCCTTCCACTCTGAAATTCACCAATGCCAAAACAGAAACCTATAAGCTATGCAGAATAACTAAAGATTGAATTAAAGTCTTAACAAAATGGAGGTCCACCAGGTTCTGTAGCTCCAACAAATGGCACAACTTTATGGATAAGATCCATTCTCTGAAATTCATTTCCAAAAAAGTAACATAATTGTCGGAAATGGATTACCAAGAATAAAACACACATCTTGGAAATTCATTTATGAGATTTATATTGCTTTCTCAAAATGAATTTTTGAGAACACAATATAATTTTCAAAATTTAATTCCAAGAATACATAAATGTTTTTAAAATATATATTTAATTATAAACTCTTGATAATAAGAAAATTGAGATCTTTAATCTTTGGACTACTAAAAAATATCATTAAAGAATTAGCAAATCCAACTGTAAAGATTTGTGGTCAAAAGATTAGATTTTGTCGAATTTATCAATTTGCTGCTAACATTGTTTGTGTAGGTTGTTTAAGCTCTGACATATAAGATGTTTAAATTCAGCAATAAAAATTTTTAGTTTTTTTGTCAGGCATTGTTCGATAAATAATATTCGTAACATTTATCAAATTCTAACAAACATGCATTTAAAAGAAATCAATAATTGGGAAGAACTTTCATGCAAGTGGCTACTGCACCATATGTGATAAAATAGTCATGCTTCATCGCACACAGTGCAACAACCAATTTACACGAATCCTCTTCATACTTAGTAATTCCTCTCATATTCACATTTGTCAAAATTGTAATAATATTACAAATATTATTGAACGAACAGTGCCTAGTGATTTAAAGATTATAGATTTCTATTAACAGATTTGTCATTCTTGCAAAGCAAAGAACTCAAAGCTTTTAGGATATAAAAATCCGAAAAACCTCATATTTCTTGAAAATGAATATCCATGAAGTTTTGAGGCTTCTTAAAAATGAATATTCAAAAATTTTTAAAGTTTTTCAAATATTTATTTTTAAGAGATCTCAAAACTTTTTGAATATTTATTTTCGAAAAGGTTGATTTAAGGAGATGAAGAAAGAAATACAGAAAAAAGTAAAAATAAAAAATAAAAAGTGAGAAGTAGAGTATATTTAGTAAAAATAAAAAAAAATTTTAAAGTGTAAATAAAAATGGGGTGTATATAATATTGCATGAATTTCTGTCATAATATTGCAGTTTGTATTTTCAACTGCTGTTGATGGCAAAATCAAGGCTTGGTTGTATGACAATATGGGCTCTAGGGTTGATTATGACGCTCCTGGACACTGGTGTACCACAATGCGCTACAATGCTGATGGTAGTAGGTAAGCAGATGAAAAGTCAACCTAGTATCTACAGTGGTTATCCTTTTTCTCTTACGCTGATGCTACAAATCTCCTCAGCGTCTAGGAAATGTAATAAATTAACAATCCTCTCTCCAATTCAGATTATTCTCTTGTGGGACAAGTAAAGAAGGGGATTCATTCTTGGTTGAATGGAATGAAAGTGAAGGAAAAATAAAAGGACGTATTCTGGTTTGAGAAAGAACTCTACTGGTGTAGTACAGTTTGACATGACAAGGAATCGCTTTTTGGCTGTTGGTGATGATAGCCAGATTAAATTTTGGGATATGGACAATACAAAGATTCTCACCAGCACAGAAGCTGAGGGGGAACTTCCGGTTAGCTTCTTATTTTTTCATTTCAGCTTCCCTTTTTGTGTATCGTTTGCAGGTTGAATTAACATACACTTTGATTTCAAATTGGTTATCTTACTTGATAATGGAATGGCATAGAATCTTCCCCGATTGAGATTCAACAAAGAAGGGAATTTACTTGTTGCTACTACAGCAGACAATGAATTCAAGATTCTTGCAAATGCCAATGGCCTTGGAGCATTAAGGGCAATGGAGGCTCAATCTTATGAAGCATCCCGAAAACCACTCGAGATGAAGGTTATTATCTTCCAATGCAATGCTACCTGGCTTTGCATTTGTTTATGTTATGAACTTCTATTGACAACTTGGTTTTCCGCTTGATTATGGATTCGGTATCTAATTCTGCTCTGGATACAAGCATTGGTCCAGTTGTTAGCAAAGTAGATGGTGTAGATAGTCCTTCCAGGCCTACCCCCATTCTTGTATGCTGCAAATGCACTAAGCTTTAGTTTCTGCCAATAGTTAACGTTTTGGTTAGAAAATGGAAAATGAGTATCAATTGCTTCACACTTTTTTTTGGCCAAATTGCTTCGCACTTTAGAGAGCATAAAAAATTATTAAAATAAAGTTGAGCAGTTGTACAGACATGTTGCTCGGTGCAGTTTGCTTGTCTTCTGTTCTGACGCAATTTTAAAAGTTTTCAAACTAGCATCTAATTCTATTGAAAATTACTTGTAGAATGGAGTTGAACTGATGAGTAGAGGCATTGAAAAGCCAAGAAATTTGGAGGACGCGTCTGATAAAACCAAACCTTGGGAACTGACTGATATTGTTGACCCTACTCAGTGTCGAACAGTCACCATGCCAGGCAACTTGGATTCTGCTAGTAAGGTTTTACTTTAATATATATATTTTTGTTCTCTCTTCATTTTTGTGTTTAACATTATATTTCAGGAGTGTCTTTTTGATCTATCATTTTTATGATTATTAAATCGCCTGTTATCAAGGTTGCTAGACTTCTTTACACAAATTCCGGTGCCGGAGTTCTTGCTTTTGGTACAAATAGGGTCCAAAAGCTATGGAAATGGAGTCGCAGTGAACAAAATCCTAGTGGCAAGGTGATTTATGCTTTGCAGACATTCATATATTACTCACTGAAATATAAATACAAATTTATTTATGAAGGTTCATGTATCTTTTTTATACATATGATATTGGTAGAAAAGTTTCCTTGTCTTTTTTTTTTTTTTCATCTTTTGTGGTTTTATAGGCCACTGCTAGCATTGTTCCACAACATTGGCAACCAAACAGTGGTCTTCTAACGATTAATGATGTCCCAGATAATGCTGAAGACGCAGTTCCATGCATAGCACTGTCAAAGAATGACTCCTCTGTAATGTCTGCATGTGGTGGAAAGGTTTCATTGTTTAATATGATGACATTCAAGGTAAATTAATGTGTATTTTGAAATCTTTTCTGTTGTGACTGCCAGATTTTGTATTAGAGTGGAGTTTCTTGCCAACTTTGATTCCATCCATGGTAATCTTTTACTTGATATGAAATTGCATCGATTTGCAGGTAATGACAACTTTTATGCCACCTCCTCCAGCTTCAACCTTCCTTGCATTTCATCCTCAAGATAATAATATCATAGCGATTGGAAAGGAAGACTGAGCCATCCACATTTACAATGTTAGGGTGTATGAGGTAAATGATTTAAGTATATCTTTGTATCTTTCATTAGTAGCAGTACGTTTTGATATTCAATATGGAAAGAGGTGTTTTTTTTCCTATAGGCCAAAACAAAATTGAAGGGTCACCAAGAACTTATCACTGGTTTAGCATTTTCCACCAGCCTTAACATCCTAGTTTCTTCAGGTGCTGATGCTCAGGTATGCTTCACCATCAAACCTCTTTGTGTGTGGTTATGTGTCCTTGAGCCTATTATTATTTCTAATGAAAACATGATTAAGGTTCGAAAAGAGATCTGATACACGTCTTTCTGCATTTGCCTTGTTTGGTTGCCTATAGAAGGTTGTAATATGTCTGATATTGAACCTTTCTTAACGGTTCCCATATTTCAATTTTTCCCTTGCTATATGCCGTAATCATCTTTAATGCTTCATGTTTCCTCCCGATTCTATTTTCTCTTCTAGTTGATAGATAGAGATGACGAGTGGTGGTTATTATTATTACTGCTGATGTTGTTGACTTCTTTTTTTTTTTTTTTAGCTTTTTGCTTGGAACAATGATAACTAGGGAAAGATAAAATCAATTGCACTTCAACTGCCAGGTGGAAAAACCCCTCAGGGTGACCCTCGAGTGCAATTCCACTCTGATGAAGTTCGCTTTTTAGTGTGCCACGAAACACAACTTGCGGGATATGATGCTAACAAGATGGAATGCATGCGTCGGGTAAAAAGCTACACACTACTCAATGAATTTAAACATGCGTGAGCGAATTTTTAATGTTCTTTTATATTGCAGTGGATGCCACAAGAAGTACTTTCTTCACCTATATCTAGCGCAGCATATTCCTGCAATGGCCAACTAGTTTATGCTACTTTCACTGATGGTAATATTGGAGTATTTGACGCTGATAGTTTGAGGCTCGGATGTATTGCACCATCTGCGTATATCTCTCCAGCATTGTCGAACAGGTTATATGACCATGTTATTTCCTTTTTTTTTTTTTTTCAATTATAGTCAGCAAATGGTTTATTAATATGATGATTTGAAAAGCCTTAATGGAACATGCATGTGAGGTTTGTTGCGCCTGAAGCAATAATCACAACAATACAGAAGCAATAGACAACAATCAATAATCAAATACGCAGGAAAAATAAAGCACACCAAGATTTACGTGGAAAACCCTCCAGTGTAGAGGGAAAAAACCACGGGCCGCCAGAAAAATCTTCACTATCAAATAATAGTTATACAAAGTTCTTCTTTAGCTAAAACTAGAGCTAATAAAAAACTAGAGAAACAATTGGAGAAATCTCACCAAATAAGTGACTCAACAAATACACCCTGGATTTGTTCCTAGAGAGCTTCAAACCCGATCTTCACTGTTCAGAATGTAAAACTCTGAATCATAAACCTCCTGACAAGGTTCCAACTCAATCGGACCACGGATCGACTTCCGTTCAACCAACTCTCCCTTCTCATTTTTCTCTCTCTGCTTTTCCTGGCTTTTCTTCTTTCTCTGCTTGGTTTTCGACACACACCTAAAACAACCCCACCTCTTTTTTATTAAGTAGCTAGGGCTCTGTGTAAAAAAAAGATCAAGGCCCATGGCCTTTACTTGGTCCAAAACCACTTACATGGGACTGGACCCCATTTTCCTAACAATCTCCCCCTCCAGCCCCATTAGGAGGAGATTCATCACCATAGCAGTTTCATTTGGAACTTACTTTGGCCAGGGAACTCATTCCGGCCAAGTTACTGCAAAGCTCAAGCTTTTCCCTGGGAAGTATCTTAGTCAACATATCTGCCACATTTTTATCAGTATGGACTTTCTTCAATAGCATCTGCTGTTCTTCAATCACTGAACGTAACCAATGATATCTAACATCCATGTGCTTTGTTCTAGCATGGTACATGGTATTCTTACTCAAATCTAAAGCACTCTGACTATCACAAAATACCACATACTCTTTCTGATTCAACCCTAATTCAAGAAGAAAACGTTTCATCCAAAGCATTTCTTTACATGCTTCAGTTGCTGCAATATACTCAGCCTCTGTAGTTGACAAAGCAATACACTTCTGCAACTTAGACTGCCAAGATACAGCTCCTCCTGCAAAAGTGAACAAATACCCTGAAGTAGATTTCCTACCATCAAGATCGCCTGCCATGTCAGCATCAGTAAACCCTTCTAGAACTGGTTGTGAAACTCTATAAGTCAAGCACATTTTTGAGGTACCCCTCAAATATCTAAAAATCCATTTCACTGCTTCCCAGTGAACCTTTCCTGGATTAGAAAGAAATCTGCTCACTACACCAACTGCATGAGCAATGTCAGGCCTTGTACAAACCATAAGATACATTAAAGAACCAACTGCAGAAGAATAAGAAATACTAGACATAGCTAGTTGCTCTTCCTTAGACACTGGACAAGATTTCTTACTTAGGTGAAAATGGTTGGCAAGTGAACTGCTAACTGATTTAGCATGTTGCATGTTGAATCTACCAAGCACTCGTTCAACATACTTTTTCTGTGACAACCACAGCTTTCCAGCTCTCCTATCCCGGATAATGTCCATACCAAGAATCTGCTTTGCTGGACCTAAATCTTTCATATCAAAAGACTTAGACAATTGTTCTTTCAACCTGCAAACCATACTAGCATCTTGTCCTACAATCAACATATCATCAACATATAATAATAGGATAATGAAGTTACCATTAGGGAATTGTTTAACATACACACAAGAATCCGTTGCTGTTCTTTTATAGCTATGACTCACCATAAAAGAATCAAACTTCTTGTACCACTGTCGTAGAGCTTGTTTCAAGCCATACAAGCTTTTCTTCAATTTGCAAACTAAGTGCTCTTTCCCTTTCACTTCAAAACCCTCAGGCTGATTCATATAAATGTCCTCCTGCAAATCACCATGCAAAAATACAGTTTTAACATCAAGTTGCTTAAGTTCAAGATTCAAACTAGCTGTCAATCTCAGTACCACTCGAATAGAACTCATTTTTACAACTGGAGCAAAAATCTCATCAAAATCGATGCCTGGTTTCTGAGAAAAACCTTTTACTACCAATCGAGCTTTGTACCTCACTAGTTTGTCACCATCCTTTTTCAACTTGAACACCCATTTATTCTTTAATGGCCTCTTTCCTGTTGGAAGTTTAACAAGATCATAAGTACCATTCTTTCGCAATGACTCCATCTCTTCTTTCATTGCTTTTAACCAGTGCTCTCTATCCGGAGTAGTCTGCACATCTTGAAAGCTTTCTGGCTCCCTTTCACTGGTAACTAAAATAAAATTTAAACTTGGATACCTGGTAGATGGCCTGCGCTCTCTAGTAGATCTCCTAGGCTGAGACTTTACATCACTTGATGCCGAAGGTAGCTCCCCCTGCTCAACACTCTCAGGTAGAGAGGATTGCTCCCCCTACTCAAAACTAATAGCATCTGGCTCATCACCAACTGTAGCTGGCTCATCCATATCCCCAAGTTCTGTTTCTGACTCATTTTCACCATCTATGGCTCTTTCCTGTGAAATCCCTGTCGGTGTTGAAACATCACACTCAACAGTAACTCGTGTAGTCTTCTCATTTTTCTCAAGGTCTGCTATGGTTTCTTTTTCATGAAAGACCACATCTCTGCTTCTGACTGTCTTTCTCTTTACTGGATCCCATACCCTGTAGCCAAATTCCTCATCACCATATCCTACAAACACACACTGTGTAGCTTTACTGTCAAGCTTTGATCTCTGCTCTTTCGGCACATGCATGAATGCTTTACACCAAAAAATTTTCAAGTGAGAGTATGAAGCATCTTTTCCTGTCCACACTCTTTCTGGAATGTCAAAGCCCAAAGGAACTGATGGTGACCTGTTAAGTAAATAACAAGCTGTGTTGACTGCTTCACCCCAGAATGGCTTTGGTAATTTTACCATCCTCAACATACATCTGACTTGTTCCACAATGGTGCGATTCATTCTTTCAGCTATACCATTATGCTGCGGTGTTCCAGGTTCTGTCCTCTCATGCCTGATCCCATGCTTTGAGCAATACTCTTCAAAGCCTTTAGATGTGTATTCCCCATCATTATCAGTTTGAATACACTTCAAGGGTAACCCTGTCATTCTTTCAATCATGGCATGAAATTTTTGAAAATACTGTAGTACCTGACTTTTATATTTCAACATATACACCCAAGTCTTACGTGAAGCATCATCAATAAAAGTAACAAAATATCTGCTACCACCTAATGACTCAACCTCAATGAGACCACATACGTCAGAATAAATTAATTCCAATCTATTTTCTTTTCTCTGAGAACTTTTACGAAAAGAAACTCTATGATGCTTACCAAACAAACAATAATCACATGAATCGAGAGACATACCTTTGGTCAAGGGAATGAGAGAGTGCCTTGCCAAAACCTGTAACCCTTTTTCACTCATGTGTGCCAGCCTCCTGTGCCACAAGTTTGCTGAAGCATCATTTTCAACGGTATTTACCTGGTTACCGTTCAATTGCATCAATGTCTTATACATTGTGCAGCATAGTTTTCCCCTTGCAACTACCATAGATCCTTTGAGAAGCTTCCACTGTCCATTCTTTTATCGGCTTTCATATCCCTTCTTATCAAGGACATTAATAGCAAGCAAGTTCATTCTCATATCTGGAATGTGTCTGACATCCCTCAAAGTCAACATGCAGCCTGTACTAGTTTGTACAACAATATCACCAATCCCAACAATCTGCGACACACTCTTGTTTCCCATCTTGGTACAACCAAAGTCTCCAGCTTTGTAAGTTGTAAACAACTCTCTCTTAGGAACACAATGATATGCCGCTCCTGTGTCAACTATCCACTCAATGCCGGGATCACTAACATGATTACAATCACCATGTGTACAAATCAAAGTAACTGAATCACTATCTGAATTCACTGCTGCAACATTGCCATCATCTGAACTCTTACCTTTCTCATCTTTTCGCTCTTGC